ATTTACATTTTTTAAATAAATATGTAAAGTCCCAATTAACTTTTTCAAAATATTTTTATCAATCATATGATAAATAATATTATTTTATGTGTTATTAGTTTTTTTTGACTGGGAGCTATATCTTTGAGACATGGTTCCCACTTGTCTTACAATAATGTCCAAGGGCACTTTCCAGCTTTGGAAGTCCCTCTTCAAATAGGACAAACAGTCATTTTTATGCTCCATTTGTTTAATATAACTATCGTATGTAAAGAATAACATGAATCTAAGTAGGAAAACACGATGGTCCTATCAGTTCTCTTCTCGAAGATCAGTATCCGAGTTTTGTTCCCTCTTGTCATTTTAATCAAGGCAGTTAGTTCCGACTCTGTTAAGTTTAGTTCCTGAGAGATTTATTAATCAACTCCGCATCCTGGTAGAATCATATTTTCTATTTTAATATTGGATTATTTTGATATAATCAGACAGTTTCTAGATTTTTCCATCTTAGATTATCAGCTGCTAAGCCCTAATCAAATTGAATCATATATGACTTTTTCTTTAGTTCTTATTAAATTTTAATGCTAATTTAGCCTAAGAAATCGTATAGCCTTTTCATAACTAATTCTGAAGTTTCCAATCCTCAGCCTAATCGTTTTTCATCTAGGGCTTTCATGAATATCGGAGTTTATCCTTTTCAAGGATGTGTTGTTAGGGCTTCTTTTTCATCCACCTCTAAAGTTTCTCTTTATCTGACTATTTGATGTTGTTAGAGGTTCTTCTTCGAAATCTTGCGTATCTCCTACCTTCTATTAATTATATATCTCTCGAAGTAAATAAATAAATTTTCAATTAGAATATGAACCAATTTTAAATTGCATCATATTTGATTTAGAATAGCTTTTTAGTTTCTTCACTTGTTGATTTATGTATTTTTTTAATTTGATCTTAATTTTTCTTGAAATTTTTATATTGTATCTCCAATTAGATTTGAAAATAAAAAGTCTTTTTGAACTGAAAATTTATGTATTTAAACCTTTAAGTTTGTTTATATGGAAAGATATACATATACTATCTATCTTGTTAAGTTAGACCTTTTATTACTGATATGTGGCGAATTATCTCAAATACAAATGATTTTTTGGAAACAAAATAGAATACATTTATCTCCTTTGGTTGGCTTTTGTGATGTAAAAACTAAATCTCTTTCTTTAACAAATAATTAATGGAGCTCTCTATTTGAATTTTTTTTTTTGGCTTATTAATTAGGTAAGCTAATTGATATGTAGAGACTCATTAAAGCAACTCCTATTAAATAGTAACTTGAATGGAGTTTGAATTGAATTTGAGTAAGTATTACCCTTTCAGCGCAAATCTTGTAATAAAAATACTGTAATCGGAATATGAGTCTATAAAATTATAATATTTTTTTTATATCAAATATAAAAAAGATAGTTATTACTGAATATTTAATAATTATATATTTTTTATAATTTGTTTCAGATCATAAATTTTGATTAAAGATTAAATCCTTTGTGGTTTTAGAGTATAGATATTTAACTTCACTTATTATTTGAAAGCAATATTTATATTTGATAATTTGCAAATAAAGCTATAATTGTATTTACATTTAAGATAATATTTTGAATATTAATTTTTTAAATATTAATAATTGTATCAAATTTTTCTAGAAAACTTAAGATTATATACATATTGTTNCCCAATTAACTTTTTCAAAATATTTTTATCAATCATATGATAAATAATATTATTTTATGTGTTATTAGTTTTTTTTGACTGGGAGCTATATCTTTGAGACATGGTTCCCACTTGTCTTACAATAATGTCCAAGGGCACTTTCCAGCTTTGGAAGTCCCTCTTCAAATAGGACAAACAGTCATTTTTATGCTCCATTTGTTTAATATAACTATCGTATGTAAAGAATAACATGAATCTAAGTAGGAAAACACGATGGTCCTATCAGTTCTCTTCTCGAAGATCAGTATCCGAGTTTTGTTCCCTCTTGTCATTTTAATCAAGGCAGTTAGTTCCGACTCTGTTAAGTTTAGTTCCTGAGAGATTTATTAATCAACTCCGCATCCTGGTAGAATCATATTTTCTATTTTAATATTGGATTATTTTGATATAATCAGACAGTTTCTAGATTTTTCCATCTTAGATTATCAGCTGCTAAGCCCTAATCAAATTGAATCATATATGACTTTTTCTTTAGTTCTTATTAAATTTTAATGCTAATTTAGCCTAAGAAATCGTATAGCCTTTTCATAACTAATTCTGAAGTTTCCAATCCTCAGCCTAATCGTTTTTCATCTAGGGCTTTCATGAATATCGGAGTTTATCCTTTTCAAGGATGTGTTGTTAGGGCTTCTTTTTCATCCACCTCTAAAGTTTCTCTTTATCTGACTATTTGATGTTGTTAGAGGTTCTTCTTCGAAATCTTGCGTATCTCCTACCTTCTATTAATTATATATCTCTCGAAGTAAATAAATAAATTTTCAATTAGAATATGAACCAATTTTAAATTGCATCATATTTGATTTAGAATAGCTTTTTAGTTTCTTCACTTGTTGATTTATGTATTTTTTTAATTTGATCTTAATTTTTCTTGAAATTTTTATATTGTATCTCCAATTAGATTTGAAAATAAAAAGTCTTTTTGAACTGAAAATTTATGTATTTAAACCTTTAAGTTTGTTTATATGGAAAGATATACATATACTATCTATCTTGTTAAGTTAGACCTTTTATTACTGATATGTGGCGAATTATCTCAAATACAAATGATTTTTTGGAAACAAAATAGAATACATTTATCTCCTTTGGTTGGCTTTTGTGATGTAAAAACTAAATCTCTTTCTTTAACAAATAATTAATGGAGCTCTCTATTTGAATTTTTTTTTTTGGCTTATTAATTAGGTAAGCTAATTGATATGTAGAGACTCATTAAAGCAACTCCTATTAAATAGTAACTTGAATGGAGTTTGAATTGAATTTGAGTAAGTATTACCCTTTCAGCGCAAATCTTGTAATAAAAATACTGTAATCGGAATATGAGTCTATAAAATTATAATATTTTTTTTATATCAAATATAAAAAAGATAGTTATTACTGAATATTTAATAATTATATATTTTTTATAATTTGTTTCAGATCATAAATTTTGATTAAAGATTAAATCCTTTGTGGTTTTAGAGTATAGATATTTAACTTCACTTATTATTTGAAAGCAATATTTATATTTGATAATTTGCAAATAAAGCTATAATTGTATTTACATTTAAGATAATATTTTGAATATTAATTTTTTAAATATTAATAATTGTATCAAATTTTTCTAGAAAACTTAAGATTATATACATATTGTTAAAAAGTTCATTGTATAATATATTTTATTTCAATATTCAATGATTTTGAAAATTATCATTTTTAAAAAGGATTAAAAATTTATATATTTCATTACATATAAATAAAAAAAAATACGGTGATATGTAAAATTATACTAATTATATTATACTCATGTTTTTGATAACAATCAAAATTTATTAAATTTTATTTCTGTTATAAACAGTATTTCTAATTATATATATCTATATTTTAAAAACATTCAGAATAAATTTGAATGAATATATATTAAATGTATATTAAATGTATAATAATCATTTAATTTTAATAAATTATCATGAAAGAAATAAAATATTGACAAACATGTAATAAAAATACAATGGATATAAAAATTACTAACATTTTAATCTGTCTTTTTATATCTCATTTTGAAAGAATATTTATGAAATTGAAATTTATACTTTATTTGCCAATAATTATTTTACAATTTTTCAACAACAAATTGAATGTATTTTTAAAATCTTTTAATATTGTAATTAATTATAATTTAAATTGAATGGCTAGAGTAAAATAAATATAATTTCTTCTTTTTTTATAAAGTATTAAAATGGATATATTCTTAATACTTAAAAAAAAATGAATATAACTTGTAAGATTGTTTACAATAATATAATTCAATGTTCTTAAAGATGAGCATAAAAAATTGGAAATATTTATTAAACACGTCATAAAATTAAATAAATAATGAATGCTGTTTACATATATTATTTTACAAATGAAATATAAACAAATATATTTTGGATTTTGATAAAAATTGCAAATATTATTCTAAATTATAATTTGTTATATTTACATATTTTCAAAATATTATTGCACATATTATCATACGATCTAATATAATTAATATAATCTAGAACATATAATACAGTTTAAATAATTAGATACAAAATAATCAATATGCAGCTCTTTAATTCATATGTTAACATTAAAGATTTAGATGTTATGGGAATTTTTTTAGCGAAAAATCTTTGCAGCTCAATATTTCGTTGATTTCTAAAATTATTGTTAATTTATATACCCTTAATTTTGGGTTTCAAATATGCTATTACTTCAAAATCTAATTTTAGTTCTTTATCACTCTGATTTTAATTTAATCCGGTCACAAATCTTTTAATTATATGTAACTAAATATAAAATTATGGATTTTATTAGTTATTAGAAATATAAACCATAATCAGATTTACTGACATTATAGAGCTATATTTGTTCCAGAGAGGATGTTAATTAATGAATAATAGATCTATATTCGTTAATGATATAAAAAAGAAAGAATTGATAAAAAGTATTACAATCTAATTCATGATGTTAGAATCGCAAAGTCATTTAATTTAGGAATAATATAAATGTATAAAATAAAGTAACTTATTCTCTTCAATATATATATATGATAAATTTGAAAAATGAAAATCATGTCCTTAAGAATAGAAAATACCTGAAATGTTTATTCTAATCTTCCAAATGATTTAACCAAAGTGAAAATAAAAAATAAAATAGTGACCTACACCCAAATGTTGGATTAGAAACATATAATTCGATTGAATATGTTATTAATATTATAACTAATAATGCTTAAAAAGATGAAACATATTAAATACTGATCATCCCTTAAATGGTTACTTACGACCCCGTTCAAGTAATAAATCTCTTTCAGCACGTTCAGCAGCCAATTTTTCTTATTTTTCTCTTTCTTCTTTATCTTTTTTCTCTTTAGCCTTATATTAAATTGAATGATTACTAATTAAAGATTGGTTTGTTTGGTAGCAACACCCATATCAGTTTTCCTGGATGCAAAGTTATCTTATAGCATTCCTCTAAATCTATTGATTTCTAATGTTTATTAAGCATAAGCCATTTCCTCTGCTTTTTCTTATTCTTATCTTCTTTTCTTCTCATCAATTTATTCAAATATCCATTATTTTTATTGATCCTTGTTGAATTTATTACGAGAATCGAATTCTATCTATAAATGGTAAGAATTACATAAATCTTCTCCATCAAATTCTTTTAGACCNATACATATATTATTTTACAAATGAAATATAAACAAATATATTTTGGATTTTGATAAAAATTGCAAATATTATTCTAAATTATAATTTGTTATATTTACATATTTTCAAAATATTATTGCACATATTATCATACGATCTAATATAATTAATATAATCTAGAACATATAATACAGTTTAAATAATTAGATACAAAATAATCAATATGCAGCTCTTTAATTCATATGTTAACATTAAAGATTTAGATGTTATGGGAATTTTTTTAGCGAAAAATCTTTGCAGCTCAATATTTCGTTGATTTCTAAAATTATTGTTAATTTATATACCCTTAATTTTGGGTTTCAAATATGCTATTACTTCAAAATCTAATTTTAGTTCTTTATCACTCTGATTTTAATTTAATCCGGTCACAAATCTTTTAATTATATGTAACTAAATATAAAATTATGGATTTTATTAGTTATTAGAAATATAAACCATAATCAGATTTACTGACATTATAGAGCTATATTTGTTCCAGAGAGGATGTTAATTAATGAATAATAGATCTATATTCGTTAATGATATAAAAAAGAAAGAATTGATAAAAAGTATTACAATCTAATTCATGATGTTAGAATCGCAAAGTCATTTAATTTAGGAATAATATAAATGTATAAAATAAAGTAACTTATTCTCTTCAATATATATATATGATAAATTTGAAAAATGAAAATCATGTCCTTAAGAATAGAAAATACCTGAAATGTTTATTCTAATCTTCCAAATGATTTAACCAAAGTGAAAATAAAAAATAAAATAGTGACCTACACCCAAATGTTGGATTAGAAACATATAATTCGATTGAATATGTTATTAATATTATAACTAATAATGCTTAAAAAGATGAAACATATTAAATACTGATCATCCCTTAAATGGTTACTTACGACCCCGTTCAAGTAATAAATCTCTTTCAGCACGTTCAGCAGCCAATTTTTCTTATTTTTCTCTTTCTTCTTTATCTTTTTTCTCTTTAGCCTTATATTAAATTGAATGATTACTAATTAAAGATTGGTTTGTTTGGTAGCAACACCCATATCAGTTTTCCTGGATGCAAAGTTATCTTATAGCATTCCTCTAAATCTATTGATTTCTAATGTTTATTAAGCATAAGCCATTTCCTCTGCTTTTTCTTATTCTTATCTTCTTTTCTTCTCATCAATTTATTCAAATATCCATTATTTTTATTGATCCTTGTTGAATTTATTACGAGAATCGAATTCTATCTATAAATGGTAAGAATTACATAAATCTTCTCCATCAAATTCTTTTAGACCACTAATACCTTATCTTTATTGCCAATCTGGATGCTCTCTAAAAATTGTTTCTTTTGTTCGTTTCATATTTTAATTAATATAAAATATATATATCAATTTTCTTCTTCAAATTATTCCTCCATATATTCTAAAGATATAATTAAAAATTACAAACCTTCTTCATTAATTTCTTTAGTTGGATGCAATTCTGAAACCAAACTAGCCTTGACATCGCTATTACTTCTATTAACTTTATTTACATAACTGGAAGTTGGCCTACTATTAGGAATTTATCGACTAATTATAAATTCAAAATTACTCTTATCGAACTGGAAAATTGCCTTTATTTTCAACCTTCTCCCATTAATCATTTTCATCATCATTATCTTCCTCAAAAACTCCATCCGCATTTATATTGTAATCATCTTCCTCTTCCTAATATTAATCTTGCTCTTCTATATGAGCATTGTTTAAATCTGGTTAGTAATCATCATTTTCTTCCTCATTATTTTCATACTCACCATCTTATTCATCAAAATTATATGGATATTGCTCTTTTTCATATTTTTATTAAAGTTAATAATCTTTTTATTACTATTAATTATAATTTTCCTCTTCTTCTTCCTCTTCTTCTTCATTCTTTTAGATTAGAATTAATTGTAATGGATCCGGATCAGAATGACTTCTTACAAGTCCTCCTTTTATAATATATTGTTAAACTGATTTTTATGGAATTCCATCATTAACTTAATTAATATCTACTTCATCCACTTTGTCCTCCTTAGTCTCCAATAATGCAATCATTTATTCTTACTTGCTTCTTAACTATTTATAAAAAAAGAACCCTTTATCTTATCTAATTTTATTAATTCAATTTGAAATTACCCTAAACTATCATAATATTACTAAAGATCATCAGCTCTTACATCTTCCTCATTTTCTAGCTTTTCCAATTCTCTTAGGTATTTCACAAATACATCTCCTTTTAAAGTATTAAGACTTTTTGATTACAAAATGATCTAATCATAAAATAATAATTACTTTCGAAATTAAATAAGTAAGTTCTAATTCTCTCATCTACTTTTTTTAGAGTATTTTTTCAATTTAAGAGATAAAATCCTTTTTTACATATACATTTTTGCCCATAACTTTTTCTATTTAACTGAGAGATCCTTGAAATAATTTGGCTAAACATTATTCCAATACTCTCTTTTCAACTTAATCATAACAAGCCCAAAATCCAATTGTTTTAAAGAAGATTCCTCTTATCAATCCATTATCTTAAGCAATAGATTCATTGGGAGTATATGGATACTTTTATTATGGAGATTCTATTAAAAATCTAGCAAAATTATTAGCATCAGTTTTTTTTAGGAAAAATGGATCATTTATTAACTTTTCTGTCAATTATCCTATTGTAGTTTATTAGGTTGATTAATTAAATAGTAAAATATCGATTTATTTCGAATGCAAGGATAACGCTATTAATTTATATTTAATCTCCTCTATGATATTACTTATCTCATCTTATTAAATTGGTTTTGTAATTTGTTCAAGTGGTTTAGCACTCTAAATGCGTTTTGTTACTTTATTATGTGTTTTAAGAGTTGGACTAAATTTAGGTTGTTACAATAGTTTCTTTTCTTTTTCATACTGTTCTTTCAATCTAGTAAGTTATGTTTTAAGTTCTATTAGTTGCTTATCTTTTTATTTTAATTTATTCTACATGTTTTAATCAAGTTTTGTATATTCTCTATCAAGATCTTGATAAGCTTATATGAGCTATTATAATTGTGATTAAAGATTTTTATTGTCTGTTTAAAATGATTCTATATCTTATTGCATTTATTTAATAAGATTATCTCTTTGTGAAATCATATCCTATAATTTTTATTAATCATGCTCTTTTTATTAAGCATATAAATTTTATTGTATCAGTTCATCAATAACTTATTTTAATCGAATGGTTTCATCCTAGAGCATTTTCCGTTCAATTTCCATTTCTGTGAGTTTAGTATATTTAGCTGTCTTTTTAAGAGCTAGCATTTCTTATTCTCTTTGATCAAGATTTTATCGCAATTCTTTAATTTAAGCTTTAAAACTAAGAATCATTTAATTATCTGTGCTTGGTTTAGCATAAAATCGTTTCATATTTCCAGTAGTTTCTACTTCTTCGATAATTTTTTAACATTTTTATAAGTCTTTCTAGATGATAATTGCAATAGTACTTCTAAATTAGTGTTTCTAGTTCTTAGTTTAATATTCTCATCTTTAAATTAATTAATTAAAAGCTTAAGTTAGAGACTCTCTTCAAATAATTTTTCGCTTTCCTTGGGTCTTTATTTTGTAACATTCTATAAATTTGGTTACTTGTAAGGACTAATAATAAATAAAATATAGTACTTCTTATGAAAGGATACATTCTTATCACTTAAATGTGATACATTTTATTAAGCGCTGGATGGTCTAATTGATCTATGATTCATTATATTAATAATTATTATGGACTTTAACGATTTGATATTCCCTTGTCCAAAACCAAGTTATAATGAGACTTTGGGTGGTTTATATTACATTGATGAATAAATCTGTGGTTAATCTATCAAAAATAGCAATGAACTGAAAATATAAAATGGGACCTTAAGAGTGACAATTAGTTAGAACTAAACACATCATAAAGTTACAAAAAGAAGAAGGATAGTCACACTATTATAATTAGAATAGAAGTTAAATAAAGGTATTATTGTATTTTTTCATGCCAATGCAGAAGATCTTGGAATGTGTAAATCTTTAGCATTTCTTCTAGGGACAGATTTGGATGTATAAAATTGGTCTCTGTAATTAGATGGCCTCAATTTCTATTGAATATCCAGGTTATGGCATTTATAAAGGAAATTGTAGTAGTGATATAATGATAAAAGATGGGTATTAGGTGATGGAACATATAATAAAAGTGTTGAAGGTTTAAGAAGAAAATATAATAATAATAGGAAGATCAATTGGATGTAGTATAGCAATAGAAATGAGTATACGTTATAAAAAGATTAGATCTCTTATTTTATTGAGTGCATTTACTTCAATTTGTGATGTAATATAAGAGAACAGTTTCTTTTGGATATCAAAGTTAGTGAAGGAAAGATTTAGGAATTTAGAGAAGATGCATAAAGTAGTTTGTCCAACACTTTTCATACATGGAAAGGATGATGATTTGGTTAATTATAAGCATTCAATAGAATTGATGAAGGAATGTTAAGGACTTGTTCATATAGAATTATTTGAAGGAATGAATCATAATTAGTTCTCAGTTGAATTACATATCATTTCTCCAATTAAATAATTTTTAATGAAAATAAAATGACAATAATTTATGTGATTATTAATTTAAATAACAACAGTAAATGGAATAACTATATTCAGTTAGTGAAACATTCACATCATATATTGGAAACTTCTATGATCAAAGAATCTTAATCTCGATTTATTTGTTGTTTCCTATCATTTTGATATTCTTCTTTCTCAGTCTCAGGTAATTATTTATAATAATGTAGAGATTTAGAAAGACTTGAAAATTAGGAGAAATATGATATGACACATACTCATTATTAGCCAAATATTTATAATAATTTGATATTTTAATGGACTAAGTAAGGAATTTAAAATTTGAAAAATGATGAACGATATATTTAATGGTAAATACAAAAAGAGAGAGAATTAGAATTAAGATCATAAGAATCTAGCAAATTATCATTTCGATAATAATAACAATGATATTTTTAGTATATATATATATATTCATTAATCATTATCACTTAATGCTCCTTCTTCTTCATCAATTTTAGTAAGCAATCCACTTATTTGATAGTCTAATAATTCTTTTAATTTTTCTTGCATAAACTCATCCAAATTATGTTCATGAGCAAATCTAGCAGCCAAATCACAAGATTAATCACCTTCATAAACAACAATTCTCTCAGTCTTATTTGGTCCTAGATTCACATCTACAAATAACAAAGGGATCCTTTCATCCTATTCTAATTAATATATAGAATTACTATCTTACAACTGCCAGATCTAACAACACTCTATTCTTCTTTAGGTTATGATTCATCCATATGAAAATTCTAAGATTAATATGTATTCATTTATTAAGATTCTTAAGATTATAGACTTTTCTATCTTGATGATTATGTAGTTTATTTCAATTAATTCTAAGATTAGCTTCTACTTACCTTGGTCTATTAAATTGATTGCTACTATTAAACAGGTTTATTACTCTTATATCCTCTTTCTAACATTCCTTATACTTCTTCTCTTCTTTATCTAGCTTATTTCATTCTTTATACTGTTTTATCTATATCCTTATTTACAAAATGATTCTCTTATTTCTATTATTAACTTCCTTTATTAATTAAACCAGGTTAGAAAGTGCATTCTTCTTATTATCTTTCATATTCTATTTCTTCAGTTGTTCTGTCTCTTTTTGATGTAGTTGGTTTAGCTAATGAATATAATTGTAAATATTTTTCAGACTTTTTTTATTAAGTTTTTGATTCATCAATATTTTATGTACTAGAATTATTATTATTATTATTTATTAATTATGGTTTAAATGGACATTTATCTAATTATTATTATAAAATCTCTTATTTTTTCTATTCTTTGTGATATTCAACAGCTTTCTTTTATAATACTAATAAATCTGCATGTGTAATTTATCCATTTTCTGGTATGTTTACTTTAATCAAATTATTATCAATTAAATTAGCTGTTTATTCTAATACTTTTTCTCTAAACTAATTTGCCAATTACTTTGATTAAGGTAATATTTATGGTTTATAAGGATTTTGATCTTTCCAATTGGTTTTTTTCAATTCTTCACAACCTAATCTATTTCTATATAAAATATCAAATTGTTTTTATATTTTTTTTGTTTCTTCAAAAGTGAAAATGATATTACCATCTTTATCAATAGTTCCTAATTTTGGTTTATCATTAGGTTAATGAGCAGTTACTATTTTATGTTATTATGGTTAAATAGATTTTTAATAATTTGGAACTTCTTCATTTTAAGCAGATGGTAATTCTTTAATTTTAAAATCTGTAATTCCAATTAAAGTCAATAAAAATAAACATAAATTTCTTTTACTAATACCTCCTAATTAATCTCCTCTTAAAACAGTCCAAATTTCACATAATAATGCTCTTTCTTCAGATAAACGTAGATTTTCATATTCTACAGCTTTTTCATTACTTTCTTTTAATTATAATAAATTCAAAAATCCTAATCTTTATAATATTTCTCCTAATTTAAGATAATCAATTGAAAATGATACATTTGATGGTCTATCTTATCCTGTTTAATCAAATATCCAATCTATAACAGTTTCAAATTCTCTAATGAATTTTTAAGCAACTATTTTTTCACTATTATTTGATGTGAATTTAACATTTACAGTAACTACTTTAGTTGTATTTTTCTTATCTTGTAATTCCTTTTATTTTTATAATCTTCTTTAAGCATCTTAGTAAAGAATATCTTCTACCTTTTAATTACGAACTATATTTTAAGATTTCTATTAAATTAATGGTTTATAATCAATAGTAGATTCTGATTATTACATTAAAGGTTCAGATGGTTTCTTTTAATTTAAATTGTATAATCTCTCATAAGTAGGTATTGTTTCATCTCTTTTTGAAAAGTTAAATTCATTTGTTTTTGGATGATATGGATGTTATAAATCACGTTCTAATTCATTTTATTTAATTTATTCTAATTTCTATTCCACTTTGATAACATGATTCTATTGATCAAATAAAAATTAATAGAGTGATCTTTTTTCTTAACCGTCGTTAAGTGTTTAAGGTGCAAATGAACAAGGACGTAATTCTTCTTATTCATAATATTCTTTTAACATTTAATTGTTCTACTTAAATATTTCAGCCTCTTAATTGAGTCTTTCATAAAGTATTTCATTATTATTCACTTAAGGTATCAATTTCTTTGAAATAATAGGTTTTGGTAAATTAGAATTTTATACCTTAAGTGGAGTATCATCAGGAAGATCATCTCCTTTTAAAATTGCAGGACATATTGTCATATGTTATTGTTTTGAGTTCATTTTTAAAATATCAGTTAAGAAAATAAAAATATATATATAAATATAATGAATTAATCAGGTTTCGAAAAACCCCATGTATTATAGAGTATTAGTGATGCTGATAAGTTATAATTTTACAATAGCACACGATTATGGCATACTAAATTTAATTATTAGTTATTTGATACAGAGGAACTCAAAAGTGTCCATTTTGAAGATAATAAAAAATTTATTATGATACTCAAATCAATATAAAATTTCAATAAAGAAGTAAGAATTTATATATTTCTCTTATAGATTTAATAATCCTAAAAGTAAAGTAGATTTGTTCCAACTATGCCTACACGTTACAATTTTTATTAAAATATTGTAAATTTATTAAGAGAAGCTGCAATAGCTAAAGGAAGGGATGCTTAATTGATTTTCTTAGATAAGGTTTATGGTTTTTTTTTATAAAATAATCGAGAAGCAATGAAAACTTAAGATAAGGAAACAGGTAATACAAGTTCAAGTGAGGATTCAAGATTTATCATTTAGGATCAATCATAACCATTACCTAGTCAATAGATTAATGATTAACTCAAGGATTATAAGGATAAGAAAAGAACCATGCATAAAAATTGTGATCCACCATAATTAAGGTAATTAGAGTTATTATTATTATTTTTATAGATTAAAATTATATAAAAGAAGATAATTTAACTAAATGAATAATATGATACCTCAATTATAAATAAGAAGTACATTTCCTAAGGTTGTATCTATACCTTAAAAAGAATAAGATGAGAATCTATAATAAAGTTAAGAATAAACAGAGGGTGAAATAGTAATAGATGGAGATTTATTAGGGAATGATGATGATGAAGAAAAGAAAAAAATAATTGTTAATATGGTACCTAAGATAAAAGTATTTTAAAAAGATGATGTTAATTTAGAATTTAAAGATTTAAATTAATAGTTTGAAAATAGATAAAATTATTAGTTATATTAACCATCAAATTAAGAAATTGAATTAAATTTATAAAATAGATGGATTTAATTTAGATAAAAAGAAGCAGCAGAAAAAAAAATGGATGAAGAAATTGTTAATTCTATGAATGTTTGGTCTAAAAATAAAGCTAGAATAGAAAAAGAAATTGATAGAAGAATAGATTCATAATATTATGGAAGTAGATATGCTGAAATTGATAAAAGAAGATCTTAATCTGTTGGATTATCATATTAATCAGATCCAAAAGTAGTTAATCTAAAACCATTACCAACAATTATATAATCATAAAATAGATAATATGATTCTGTCATTGATGTTTCATTTTTAGAAAGTAAAGCATCTGCATAAAGAGTCTTAAATGCAAGAAGAGCATATAAAGATATATTAAATTTAAGTGCAAATGATGTTTAACCTGATGAATAACCATCTTCTTTATCAATTTATGCAAATAAACTTAGATCTAATTCACTTCATAATAAATTCTCTTAATTATTATAAAGAAATAGTCCAACAAGAATGAATGAATTGAATTTATAAGAAGTATTAGATATCAAAAATAGATTTGCTAAACATAAAATTCCCATTTAAATTAATTCTTTGTTATCTGGAATTATGGTACCTACTTATAAAGAAGACATTAATAATAAACTAATGGATATTGGTCAATCTATGTTATAAAACCCTTTCGAGGAAAAAAAAGGTAAAAAAAAGAAGAAGAAAAAGGAATGATGATCATTCATAATATTTAAATTTAATACTAATTTAGCCATATCCATTAGAAATTTTATTAAGATTTCATCAATATATTTGAAAGATCTATATTAGAATTATTATATTCAATTAGAATAATAAAAATTCAATTTTGTTAATTTATCAATCATTATAATATATTGTTTTTTTTATATTAAATTCTTATTTAGAAGCTATTTATGTTATTCAATAAAAATACTTAATTAAATATAGGATTGAAAAAACTCTTGTGATTATGATGTTAAATAAACAAAAGAATATTTTAAAATCAATATAATAATAGAGGATTAAATTAAATAAAAAAATCAATTAAATTTATATAAATGACTTCTTACATGTAATCATCCTTTAGTATTCAAACTAAAGCTAACTTTGACTTTTTATAACAACCTAGTGATTCTGATTCAGATGATGAATCAAAACAAATGCTAAAAGGAACATAATAATAAAATTAACAGAGAGATATAAAAAAATAAAAGAAACTTATTGATATAGAATCACTTAAAAGTGAATTAGGAATTAGACCAATAATAGAGAATGTTAATCCTGAAAATTATTATCGTAGATATTCTAGAAAAAGTATTGGGACATTGACTAATATGATAATACCAACATCATCTATTTTGATTGAATAATTAAGTTAAATAAAAAAGATTAAGGAAATAAGAAAAGAAGTGCCTCCTGAATTATTAGGACGTATTTATTCTGAATTTAGGTATAAGATAGAATTCAGTTAGATTTTAATCTGTTCCTTAATTGAATCCAGTTTATAGATAAGGAGATCAAAATAAACGATATTATATAATATTAGAAGGGAAAGTAGTAGTGATGAAACCAAAAGAGAAGATGGTTGGATCTAATAAATTGGATTACAAAGAGAATTAAGCATAAAAACCTGCTAAAAAGACTGAGTAAGATCCATATGGATTAAATAATGTATTTCCAGATTACATTATATTGAAAGTACTATTTTAAGGAGAGTATGTAAATAAAGAGCTATAAAAGTTCGTTTGGTGAGGCAGCTATTAAGTTAGACACAGCAAGATCATCGACTGTTTATGCATTAGAATAGACTCATTTAATATATTTGAATGAAATGGCATATTTAGAATTAATTAATCCTTATATGAGTGCTGCATTAGATAATAAAATAAATTATTTTTCAAAAAGTCCATTATTTTAAAATATTGAACCTTAAGAATTTATGGGTATAATTTTAGAATGTAAAATGATTACATATCATGCTGGTGAAATTATATTTAAAGAAGATGATAAAGCTACTCATTTATATTTTATTATTGATGGTGAGATTGAATTATCTAAGAAAGTAGGAGAAAAACGAATAATTTTATCATCATATGGATAATATTAAGGATTTGGAGAAGTTGAAATAATGTTAAAAATATCTAGATTTACATAAGCTAAAGTTATAACACCAAAATTACATGTTTATAGAATAAGAAAGAGATAATATTTTGATAATTTAGGTAATTATTAAATTTTTGAAACAATGAAAAAGAATTCAAATCTTATATTTAAACATTGGTAAAATAGATGTGAAGTTGCTTAATAAACTATTCATTAATAAGATGAAGTATATTTATTTTATTTATAATCAGATTTTTAAGGCTGCTCAAGATGTTTAATAAAATAAACCAAATTTTTAAGCTAAACACATTCTTAATAAGAAATTAGTTGAATCTTAAGGATAAAAACTATAATAAGTGAAATTATTATAGAATATAACAGATGAAGATTTAAAGAGTATCAAAATAGTTAATACTCAGAATCAAAGTGTATTATAAAAAGTATACAGCAATACTTTGTAATAATATTAAGCTAGATTATTATCAAAACCTTAAGTTGTATAATAATCTCATGATGAAAATTGTATAAGAAATCCATTTACAATAAAAACATAAGCAGATTATTTAAGTGAAAATAGTACAGAGTTAAATTCAATAACAACTAGATCTTCTTAACCTGTAATTAGAACTGAGAATGTTCATTAATCTTATGGATAATTACCTTCAATTCATCTTCCATAAAATCTTCCATTATAAATTGTTTTTGATACTCTTAGCACACTTCCTAGAGTAAATAAGGATAATCTTGTTTTATCTTTAATGTATTAATAAGCTTTCAAATCAGAGAATCCAGAAAAAAAAGCAAAATAAATTTAAAAAGTAATTTAAGCATCTTATAGAAATGTTTAAAAATAATTTGAATCAAAAATGATACCTACAAATGAAATTAACAATATTAGTAATAATTAGTCTATTGATAAACGTAGATTAAAATTTAAATCTAGTGGATCTAATGATCTAAATTCAACTAGAAGCAATTATGTGAGTTTTGTTCAATAAAAATAATTATGTTCATAAATTAATTGAAAATAACTATTAAATATTTTCTTTGTTTTTTCAAAATATATATATTCAATATAGAAATATATGAAAAAGTATACTGAGTAGGATTTTGATGAGAAAGTAGAAAAAGCAGTTGATAAAGTAATATAAATTATATTGAAATAGTATTTAAATAAGAAAGCACAATAATAATAATAAAAAGGATATTTTCATCATAATAATGAATGCATAATTGATAAATTGGTTGAAAAGGAAAAGTTGATGACAAGCATAGCAAATATCTTTACAGAAGTAGCTAAGATCACTTGTAATGAATTGATTGAACCTATTAAATAATAAATTGATCAATTAGAGTCAGATTTAGCTAAGATTAAAGAACTAGTCATTAAAAGTTTTAATTAAGTATAATATAACATTTAAAATCAGTTTACTCCAGTAATGAGAAGTGTAGGAATATCAGAAAAAGTTATTGAAAATGGTAAATAGATAGAAACAGAAGAAATTGATAGAGTCAGAAAAAAATTACAAAATCATGATAATATGATTAGTTTATTAATGGATACATAGTAATATTATATTTATATATAATATTAGAGCTTAATTAAAATAAACATTATAGATATTTAATACTTCTGATGATATATAATCAAGTATAATAATTTAATTATCTATTAGAATTACTATCTCAATTTGATGACAAAATATATTAACTTAAATAAGAATTAAATGATACTAAAGTTAATGATACTGTAAGATAAGTTAAAGGTATTTAGATATAATTAATATATATAGAGAAATGTAATGCTTGTTGGGTTGTTCTTGGTGATGTTAATGAAAGAGTAGAAAAAATGTAGAAATATTTAGATGAATAAATTGAAAAGAAAAAATCAGGAGGTTTATTCTAAAAAGCTGCATCATATATTAAAGCATCATGAATATAATTGTGTATTTTAATTTAGTTAAAGTTATTAATAATATTATTATTTAAATACATATAAAATACTATGAATTCTTTATATATTTTTCATTTTTATTATGTAAATACTTAATTATTCAACAATTATCTTAAAGTTGATTATAATAGATAATTATTATTAACGTAGTATAAATTTCATCATTATCTGAAATTTATTAATCTCTATTTATTTATAAATCTATATAATAAAAATCAAGTATATTGTCAATAAAAATAATATTATAAAGTTGAATTATATTGGTTAATATAATTCTTACAAATAATAATTAAGGTAATTTTGAAATAGATTTAAAAAAGTAAATAAACAATGATAATGATAATTGGATCATTATTCTTATAATGTTGTTTATTAAATCTCTTAAACCTACATCTTACATAATAATTGAAGTATTATTAAACATTATATCTAAAAATATAATAGTTAAAATATGAGTGGGAATAGTTAAGAATACAGGGACTATGAAAATGTTATAAAATCAGATGCTGGCTTTATATTAGCTATAACTAAAATTTATTCTTTTGTAAAAACTAATTGTTAAGATCAATGAACCCAATCCAAAACAGTACCAAATGATTTATTAAAATAAATATCCAGTTGGTAATAAATTGATTATCATTCTAGATCTATTTGAATATATTTATTTATTACCCTGTTTTATATTAAAAATAACTACAATAATCAAAGAATATTAGTAGAGGATTTTCTATAATTTTGTATTGGAAAGGTTAAATAACAGTTTGTTTCCATTTTATAATTATATTAATTTAATTAATGTTTGATACAGATATACCTATGGAAGAGGAAATGAATGAAGTAGTAAGATAATTTAAACCAAAATTCAGATCGATTCACAAAACATAGATTGAAGATGATTTAAGTGAAAATACTGCAAGTTCATTACATTAAATTGAACTATTAAGAACTGTTATTACAAAAAATGTATTTAACATTGTAAGAATACAAACCATTGATGATAGATGGATTGGTATTTAATTAAGAGATCATTACGTAACTTGTGGATGGTTACTTTCTGAAGTTATAAGAAAATTAAGTTAATTAAGATTAAATTATGATCCAGGTGAGATTGTTGGATTTAAGACAAATAATATTCATTTGGATTATCATTTAAGTTGTTTGCATTATAATTTACCTAATTTGAATGGAGTTCTTCTTATTCCTTAAATTCGTTAACAATTAAAAGAACCAATTAATCTTGATTGGTTTGAAATAATTAAGAAATTAGCAGCTGGTGGTTTTTCGGTAGTTTATTTAGTAAAGAATAAAGAGAATGGATAATTTTATGCTATGAAAGTAATTGACAAACGATTAATGATTGAAAGAGACAAAGAAGAAATGGTATTTAATGAAAGATAAATCTTAACAAGATTAAATCATAAAAGAATAATCAATTTATATTGTGCATTCTAGTCAGTAATTCATATTTAATTATCAAAAGAAATCTAAATTATATTTTGTATTTGATTATTGTCCAGGTGGAGAACTATATTATCATTTAAGAAAATAAAAACGATTTAATGAAGAATAGGCTAAATGGTTATTCATTTAAATTTTGGATGGATTACAATATTTACATTCCTAGAACATTATCTATAGAGATTTAAAACCAGAAAATATATTAATTGATTAAGATGGATATCCTAAAATAGCTGATTTTGGACTTAGTAAAATAGTTGATAATTAAGAATAATTAAATTATTCTTTTTGTGGATCCTTAGAATATATGGCACCAGAAATGATAGAATAAAAAGGACATAATTATACTTAAGATTATTATTAATTAGGTGTTATGCTTTATGAGATGATGGCAGGCATACCTCCATTTTATGCTAAGACAAGATAAGATATGATTAAAAATATAGTATCAAAATAGATAAATTATCCACATTTCTTTTCTAAAAATTTATAAGATTTAATAACAAAATTATGTAATAAAGATAAAACTAAAAGATTATGTGGAAAATGTAACTTAATTAAATATAATTAGAAATTTATTAACATCCTTGGTTATAGGGACCTATAAAAAAGATGCCAATAAAATATTAATGTGATTAATTCAATTTTGACAAATTGTTTATTAATCAAAAATGTTTAGATATTGAAACAGGACCTAGATGTATTGCTGAAGAGTTTAATTTATTGACCTTATCTTAATCAAGAGATATTAGGGATGAAGAAATGTGTCCCTTTGAAAAATTCTCTAGTTTTTATTACAAATAATGATGTTCTATATTAAATAATTATTATAATTTTAAATTAATATGTAACATAATTACAATTTGCATGTTCAATATATTTGAAACAATAAGTATTCAATTAATAATACTAATTGATCTAAAATGTAACAATTATTGATACCAATAGATTTATCGTAAGTAATTTTAAAATTAGTCTTAAATATATCTAAAATGCTTATAGAAAAATGATAAAATATTATAAAGTTGTCTTATCAATATGATATAGTAATATAATCTATTAATTAGGATTTAAAAGATAAACTTGTATTGATAGATTTGGAATTATGTATGAGTAAGATAAAATTATAAATATAGATAAAATGAAGTATATAATAAAAGAGAGAATTTCAAAAAAGATAGTAAAGAAATAAACCAATTATTTATATATTTAAATTAATGCTTATATGAAAATGATTCATTGTAATTTTATTATATAATAACTAGATAAAATATTTGTATATTCCATTAATCTTCTTTAAAGACCAATTATGTATTATATACTGATAAATCAAAAGAAACAATTATATATAATGTAAATACTTAGAGATATTTGGAAAAATTATATTTTGTTTATGAATATGATTAAAGTTTGCATTATCTTAGACTACTCTAATTCTTGAATCTTAATAGATAGATCTATAAGGATAGAAGAATTAATAGTAAGATTGAATAGAATGACAATTCTAGATTGGATATTAAAAGTTCTCCATTATTAAACTATTTAATAAATGAAGATAGATTAAGGAGATTTAGATAATAATTAAGAAAATTATATATAATAGTAAAGGAGATGATCAAGAACAGATAGATTGAAGTTATAACAATGATGTTAGTGTAATTCTAGAATAAATTTGAAATTATTTATAGTCAGATTTATATATATTAATTAATGGGGGTGGATGCAAATTTAATCGAGAATGTTCGTGAGAATGGATTTTGATGTATCTTAAGGAAGAAGGGAACTTTCGAAAATATTTTAATATTGGTTTTAGAAGATGATAATATAAATATAGTATAATTAATGTCAAAATCACGTAGTTAGTCTTCCATACCTGCTTTTTTATAGAAAACATATGATATTTTAGAAGTATAAGTGTTTAATAATACTAAGAATTCTTAACTTTTAGACATTGTTGGTTGGAATGAAGATGGTTCAGGTTTCTTAGTGAAGAATGTAATAGCTTTTCAGGATCAAGTATTACCTATGTATTTTAAACACAGAAATTTTGCTTCTTTTGTTAGATAGGTAAATATTAAAAAATTATAGATTTTAGATGAATATGTATGGATTTCATAAATCAAGAAGTGATTAAAAGGAAAATGAATTTATACATCCTCATTTTAAGAAGGATCAAAGGTAAATTTAATTATTAATAATAGAAACCTATTAAAGAAAATAAAGAGAAAATCAGGGGAACATGGTGATGATCAATTTACTATAATGGAATTGAAACCTCATCGTAATCAAAATATATCAGATGTAACAATATTATAGATGTAATAAATTTAGAAATAAATTCAACAGATAATGACTAAATAATAAGAATTGGAGAAGGTGTGTAAAATTTTGATTGAATAAAATAATAAAATATTACAATGCAATTAGTAATTAAGAAATCAATTAGTTCAAGAAAAGTAATTATTGTAATTCTAAATTATATTAGATTTAATGGAAATAAAAAAATATAGAAATTGAAGGATTACTTTATTTGTTAATAATAAATATAGGGTGATTGTTTATAAGTAATAAAATAGTATAATAATAATTAAGAAAAGATCCCTTGAGGATTTAATTTCATCAGATAATGAAGAATTAATACTTCCTAATATAAAAAAGATTAAAGGGGAGGATTCTGATAGTACATTTGATAAAATGGAATAATTATATGGACAACCACCTTTAATGTTAACTACCACTTTAGTTGAGAATGATGGTATGATTCAATTATTAGATGATCATCAATTCAACGATATCTACTTTGATTGAGCTATAATTAAAATGCATTTATGTTAAAAAAACTAATATTTTTTTTAATTATGAATTAATAGTTGGGATCTTATGTTAAATTTTTCCATATTATTAGAGAATTGGGAGACAGCAACTAAATTGATATTAAATAGAAATAAATACTTAAAGTCAATTTTACAACCAAAGAGAAAAAATTAATGAATATACTCAATGATTTAAGTAATAATAATCTTATGATATTTAGATGATGAAGATGAAGAAGAAATCAAATATAGTCTTTTAAATTATTTAAATGAATTACCAAAAGTTAAATAAGAGATATAAAGACAAATGAAGAGAACTAGATCCAGTATTACTGATGTTGATCTTATTAAGGGTGTTTAATATGATGAACTTAAATTTACAGATACAGTAGCAGATATGGAGAAAGCTTTAAAATTAATCACTCATTTTCATACTAAATTAAAGGATGGATAAATTATAGATCCTAAAATCAATGAAATTTATGAAAACATTCGTACTCTTTTCATTTAGACTTCTCCCTAAAATATACATTCTCCTACACTTATAGGTAGAGGTTAATCAATCAATTCAGATATTAACTATTAAATTGAATGTGAACTTAGTGAAGCATATAAGGAAGTTAAATGTTAATTTGCAAATTATATGAAAAGTCATTTATTACTTATGGATGAAACTGTCTCTTATAATACTATTTTTAGTTTACTTAAAGAATTAAGCAAGAATTTATTAAATTGTGATAATTTTAGTTTCTTTGTCATTAATACAAATAGTGATATGGAATTATATCAATCTAAAACTGATAATATTGAATAAATACCAATGGATTAATGTATTTAAGATGAATTAAATACAATACCTGAAAATAAAATATTTAGATTTTCTAAGAATTCATCTTTTTGTTCAAAATTAATGTCAATAAATTATCTATCTTCTTATGGTTTATATGCAAATAATGTTGTGTTTATCTATCATTCAAAATAGAATAAATAACTTGAATCTTAAGATATTTTAAAGTATCTCACTTTTATAACTTTAGAATTGCTAATGAATACTAATTAATAGATGAAATCAAGAATCTATCCATGTTCCTATTATAAACTATTTAAAATGCTAAAGTTTAATTCTTTAGTCCATTATCAATAGCTGATATGATTCTAGATCTTGGAATCTCATTCGTAAGAGCTTCTAAGTTTGTTCTAATTGAAAAAATGTATAATATTGTTAGCTAAGGATATAAAATTGATAAGTAATAATAATTTAATGATAGATTATAAACAGATTAATAAGAAATTTAAGTTTGGGATACTGAAAGTGTTTACATAGTATTTAAAGATTAAACTGTTACTGTATGTTTTAGAATCTATTAAATGAATCTTATAAGACAAAGTGATTAAAGATTGTATTCTGAAATTAAACATTTTTATGAGAAATATCTTCGATTTATTCGTGAATGCTTTGATAAAAGTGCTTTTTATAAATTCTTTTTAAGATCAAATGATTCACTTATTTTTGAATTCGATAAAAGTGGTCATTTATTATTTCTATCTAGACCTATTCCAAAATAAATCAAATCAAATTTTAATATTCAATTTAATTCACTTTTAATTCATTCCAATTAATTATCATATAATAAGATATTTGATTAAAATGTTGTATCTAATATTGAAAATTATTTATAAGATCATAAATGGAAAATGATGAAAGATAATGATAAATAATATGAAATATTTCTTAAAATTGAAGAAAAAACTTATAAAGGATTTGCTGTGATTTTCACAGAAAATATAAAAGGATGGGTCAAAGAATAATTTAAATAATTAGAATCTGGTAATCAATTAGATTCCAAGATTAAAGCAAAAATCAGAAAATAACTTATTTAACATGAAACTATTAATTTCGTTAATAAATTAGAAGAAAACAATCCAGAAGTAAAAGATTCTGTTGCTTCTTTATATATGCCATTATAATAATTAATATTAAAAAGATCTAAATCAATAAGGGATATGTAAAATGCATAACATGAACCTAAAATGAGAAAACCAGAAATTTAATAAAAATCAAAATTTCTAACTATTTAAGAATTGGATTTACATGAATTTTGTTTAGATAATTAAGATGATTAAATTGATACATTCGACTTTAACATTATGGATTTAACTTCATAAATATAAAAACACAGAGTTGTATGGGCAATCCTTAAAAAAAATGGACATTTAGATGATTATTAAATACCATATGAAAATTTACAAAGTTTTATTAAAGAAATGGAATATAATTATAATGTAAATAATAATCCATATCATAATTATGATCATGGTATTACAGTAATGCAAACTGCTCATTATTTCTGTATGGAATTATCTAAAACTACAAAATCTAATATTATAGATAATTTTAATAGATTTATATTAATGATTAGTAGTTTTGGACATGATGTTGGACACACTGGTAAAACTAATGTTTTTGAAATCAATAGTTTGAGTGATCTAGCAATTAAATATCATGATAAAAGTGTACTTGAATAACACCATGCTGCATTAACTATATAAATATTAAAAAATCCATAAAGTAATATACTTGTAAGTCTCAGTTAATAAGAATTTAGAAATTTTAGAAAAGGACTTATTGCAAATATATTAAGTACTGATATGTCTGAACATTTTACTTTATTAAAAGATTTTGAAAATAGACCAAAAGATTTTAATGATTGTAAAATATTGAGTGGATATATTATGCATACAAGTGATTTTGGAGGAGCAGGTAAAAAAACTAATTTATCTATTAAATGGTCATAAAGAGTAAATCAAGAATTTAGTATTTAATATAAATTAGAAGGTGAATTGGGATATCCATAATAACCATATATGAAGGATTTACATATTGTAATTATTTTTTTATATTTTTAGCCACATATCTTGGCTAAATCAGAAATAGGTTTTCTTAAAGTTATTGTTAGACCTTGTTATGCTTTATTAAGTGAATTTTTAGAGGATAGACTTAAACATTGTATTGGTAATATTGATGATACTATTCAATATTGGGAGAAAATAGTGAAAAAAGGTGAAGAATAACAATAATGAAAACTATATTTATTTAATTTATATGTTGTGTGAGAATTTAAAAATGTCTGAGAATTTTGTAGAGAAATACCCAGATAGAGTGTAAATCTTAATAATAACTAGTCCTATATTATTATAGATTAGTCAAAGATCTAGACTTAGATTTTAAGACGGAACATCTATTAAAAAATATTTAGTAAGCAAATCTGATCATTTTTATCATTTTCTTTAAGTAATTCGAGAAACCCTTCATTTATAAAAATAAGAAAGTCTCTATTTATTCATTAATAATTCTGGTTTAATCAAAGCAGGTAAAAATTTATATTTCATTTTAGAAAGTTAAGTTGATGAAATTTACTAGAAATTTAAAAGTTCTGATGGCTTTCTTAGAATTAATTTAACAGAGTATCCTTCTTTTGGAAATTTTTGATACTTTAAAATTCATACTTTTTATTTTCAATAAAGCAAAATTCTATAACATTTTTTTTAATTATATATCTATATTAATCACTATAAATGTTAAACAAATTTTATATTGATTATATTTTGTTAATTTTATGATTATAGAATATATAAAATATATTTTTGTTTAATCTATTCAAATCAATATTTATTTATAATAGTATTTATCTTTTACAACAATAAAATTTAATAATAAATTATAAATTGAAAATATTCTGTTAAAATTCAATTAAGACTTAAAGAACAAATAATAATTATTAGATTTTATTATATAATAATTATTAGATTATATTATATAATAATTAAAAATGAATTATTTCTTTTAAAAACTAAATAATGAACTATAATGAATTAAATTCTGATGATTTAGATCAATTATTTAAAGGAATTCAATTTAAATTAGAAGGTAAGGAAGATTTATTGAATTCATTGATCCCAAAGTTTTAAGAAAAGTACAAGTTTTTCTAAATTTAAGAATCTAATAAAAAGTATAAATCCTATAATTATATTTAGATTATTAGGAAGATTCTAATTAAGACTTTCTGAATTAATGGAAAAATGTAAGAACTAAAATTAATTCAATTATTTAGATGCCATTCAATAGAAATTGATAACATTTAATTTCATTAAAATTCTTGATTAAATACATAATACAGGAAATGAAAATAAAATTAAGGACATAGTTCCATAATTCAAATAATAAACAAATTGGTAATAATATAATAAAATTAACAAATCTTTATTCGAATTTTATGAAGTACAATTTTGGAAATTATATGGCATATTGTTGTTGAATGAGTATCATTATATTATTATTAAAGAGAAAACATAGAAAACATGATACTATATTATTAATCAAAATAAGATAACGTTGAAAGATTATTAAAGATAAGTTTAGAAAGAAATAAGTAATTTTCTTACATAAAATAATAAAAATATCCATAATTGGCTACTATAGAATATAAAGCATAATAAATGAATTTATCTTAAATGAATTGCACTATGGAAACTTCTTATTAAAATAAAAATATTAGAATGTTTGGTATATTAACTTAAAATCAAAAATTCAATAGATTTAATTCTACAAGTCCAAAAAAGTATTTAAGAACTAATTTCATTAAAAAAGGTTGGAGTCTTGATAATAATGAAATATAAATTCCTGAATCTATAGATTAAAAAACAAGAAATTTTTCCTAAAATACTTCAAATAGTATTATATTCTCAAATTAAACTGTAAGAGAAAGAACTTAAAATCAATCTTTTTCATAAAAAAATAACTTAAATGGTTAATATTCTACTAACTAAACTCCTTATAATTAAAAAAAAATCAGTTCGGTTGATATTAATTGTAATTATAATATCAATTATTAGAATCATTTAATTAATTTGCTACATCTACTTAATCAGTTTCTCCAAAAAGATAATTTAAAAAACCAAAGATTAATTAGAATTTGAATTAGTCATTTTATAAATAATTGTTTCCATCCTAGAGATCAAAAAATAGAGCATTTATAATTATGAAAAACATTTTATTGAATGAATCAAAAGGAATTCATAATTATACCTATTCTAACATGTTATTTAATTAGAAATAACTTAAATATTGAATTTACTTAATATATTAATAATCTTTTTCTCTAATAATTTTACTAATAACACTTATTTTATATATGAACATTCTAATGATTTTATAATTTTAATTATATTTAACATTTATCATACTTTAGAAAGTTCTATCGAATTTTAAATTATATAATAAAAAGAATACTTGACGTATTAATACACAATTGTTAATTTTTATTTATTAAATCATAAAAAATAAATGAATTACTCATTAATAGTATGTCCATCATGTACATTAAGTGTAGGCTTCTTAAGTTGTTGTACTTGTCATATAAAATATGATTTCGTTATTTGCAATGGATTATAAGTGAATTGTCCATAATGTATAGATGTAATATTTTAAATTCTATATATTATAGTTTAAATTGGATACTTATTATTAAAGTGATGAAGATGTTTAATTACATTAATAATGTTATAGAAATTCAAAAAGAATGTATTATCATTGTTAATGTTGTAATGGTTATTTTTGCAAATGTGTGTATGTTTATAATTAATATTTTAGAGAGAAATAATTGAAAAAATAAATCATCTTAAATCCTAATCCAATTCATAAAATATTAAGAGGTTTAAAAGTTTAAAGAGAAAATTGATAATCTTTACTTTTTTTTTGTATTCCTTGCTTTATAAATATATTATTCTCTTATTTTAATATAATATATATTCTAATAAAATAGTTCAGAATTGTTGTAACAAAAATAAGCTTAATTCCAAAAATTTAAACATCTATGTACACTTGAATTCGTTTTATTTACATTTCTAAAATCTTAAACAATATGATGATATATTGTTATTTAAAATGTATAAATTTATTTGTCTTATTTAATAAAATAAGATATCTATAGTTAGTTTAATAAGTTTGAAGAATATAAAATAGAAGTATAAACATAAAATAATTAAATTTAAATATTGTATAATTTTCATGCTTTAGGTCTTACAACTAGATTTTCTTTGTATAAATCAGCATGAATTTATCTTATTCTTTAAGGTGGTCCTTTCGGATTAACTGTTTAAACTATTGATATTAATAAGAAAATACTTCTGGTTCTTGGGGATAATTATCTATCTGTCAATTACTAAATTGGTATAACTGAATCTTCATTAGTTTAAACCTAATAATAATAATAAAATAAGTACAAATTTTGCAGGACAATTGAATTATTCTATATGAGATCCTATATCTTCATTTGATTATCTACATGATAGATTTTATTGATCTGGATTTCTTGTAGAATTTAACATATCAGTTAAATTAAAATGAATAGAATCAGCTTCACTTTTTTATATTGAGGATGGCAATATTTTAATTTTATTGACATGACCTTAACTTAGAGCATTCTAAAAATAAAATTAAAAATACTTTAGTATGTCCAGGTTAATGTGAATTATGAAAATCATTCGAGAAATTGTTTTTTTTATGTTTAATTTATTTAGGAGTTGAATTTTTAATTTCCAATAAATTAACTTAACTAAGAGCATTTTCATAATATTTATTTTTGCTTTTTTATCTTGTTAATTAAGTTTAAACTGATTTTAATTATTATTCTTTTTTTAATGATTCTTCAATAAGTATTGATTATTTTCTTTAAAAATCATTTTTTAATTTCAAAGCTACTGCTTAACATTGTTCAGCAATTTTCTTTTCATTTGTTAATTTTTTTGATAATTCAAATTTTTATTCAATTAATTTATTTTCTTTTTCTTTTAATGATAAATCTAATTATTTAAGTTGATTTTCCAATTTAAAAATTTAATCCCTTAATATGATATAATTAATGATTACTTATATTCTTATATATTTTTTTCTAATATTATTTTATCCTATTCCAATTAACATATTTTTGATGATTATGATTATTCTCTTGTTTAAGTAGATATTTAATATTAATTATTTTGTATGATAGTTTCATTATGTACTCTATTGAGATCTGCAATTTATTATAATAAGCTTCTTTACTAATTTATTTTTAAGAATTACTGCTTATTCATGTGATTAACATAATTCTTAGATATTTTTTTATAACTTTTCTTTTTCTTTCAATTCTTAATCTAATTCAAAGGTAACTTATTTAAGTTTTAATTTAACACAATTATAATCCTTATAATATATCTATATTTATTACATATTCCAATATTGATTTTTAATTGCTTAATGCTTCTGAAAATTCTCTAGCCAACCCTTCTTTCTAAATTTCATTCTATTTTTAAATTTAAGTAATTTATAGTTAAAAGTCATTGCATTTATAACATTTTCTATAATATATTAAAATATATTCATACTTTTCTTTATTTTCTAATTCTTCATAATCTTGAATTAATTGGTTGTATTTTTTTTCTAATTTATTGAATTCTTAACATTTATTTCGATACTAAATATGAGTATAAATTTACTTCATATTCTAAAATAGTAATCTTTTCATGTAAAATAGTCTTCAATTTTGATATTTCTTACTCATGTAGTTAATTTAATAATTGTATTTCTTTTCCTTTTTCATGGTTAGATATATCTCCCATTGCTTTCATTAATGACTCATTTAGTTTTTTTAAATTTGTCTCTCTATCTAGCGCTTCTTTAAGTTGCATTTCCAATAAAACAGATTTATCCATTAACTGTTTAATATATATTTTTAAATTCTAATGCAAACATAAAATTATTATATCGAATAATAGTTAATTTCAAATCTTAATATACAAAATATAATAGAAGATGTTCAGTATTCAAAAAATACTATCTATCTAATCATTTTCCTTCATTTTTCTTAAATTTTATATTTATACTTAATATATAATTTTATAGATAGGAATATTTATATATAATTTGTTTTTTTTATGTAATTTGATTTTGTTAAAGTATTTATGATAGTAAATATATATATTTATTAAGGGATTTTAGTAAAATTAATATATTAGTTATTTATTATATATAATTAAAAAAATGAACACACCAATTGGTAAAGATCTCACAAATTAAGTGATTGGAAAGGTTTATAAATTAATAAAAAGAATTGGAAGTGGTGCTTTTGGAGAAATTTATTTAGTGGCTAAAGGAAAAGAAGAATATGCCATGAAACTAGAAAGAAGTGATACTAAACATCCATAAATTTTTTTTGAGACTAAGTTGTATAATTACTTATAAGGATCTGATCCTAGTGATAAAGGTATTTGAATTATTAACTCAAAGCCAGGAATTCCTAGAATATATGCTTAAGGCTAAGACGGTGATTATAATTACATCGTCATGGATTTACTGGGCCAAAGTTTGGAAGAATTATTCAGTAAAAATAACAAAAGACTATCCCTGAAGACTGTAATTGATACCATCTATCATTTAGGTGCTTATGTTGGGTGATCAAATGATTTAACGAATTGAATATATTCATACTAAATAGTTTCTACATCGTGATATTAAACCAGACAACTTTCTAATTGGTTTAGGTAAGAAGGCTACACGTGTTTACATTCTTGATTTTGGATTGGCAAAAAGATATTTAACAAAGGAAGGTCATATTCCTTATAGAGAAGGGAAAAGTTTAACTGGAACTGCTAGATATGCTTCTGTAAATACTCATTTAGGTTTGGAATAATCAAGAAGAGATGATTTAGAATCATTAGGATATGTGCTTATGTATTTGCTTAGAGGTCAATTACCTTGGCAAAATATGAAAGCTAATAATCAAAAAGATAAATATTAAAGAATTATGGAAAAGAAACTTGAAACATCTCCAGATTAACTTTGTAAAGGATTTCCAATTGAAATGAGTTAATATTTGAATTATTGTAAGAATTTAAAGTTTGAAGACAAACCAGATTATAATTATTTGAGAGGTCTTTTCAAAGTATAAAATTGTAAGTATTAAAGGATGCTTTTAAGAAGATAGGTTTTGAATGGGACTATAAATTTGAATGGATCAAAGATGAATAATTAGTTAAGACATAATAAGATATCTAATCAGAAAATAAATTGATGATAATGACATAGCCATTATAATAATAATAATAATAATAATAATAAGGAATTAGATCAAATGGTATTGAATCAGATAAGAAGATTGGAAATACTAATAGTCATCATTTCAATTCTAATACACAATAATTATAATCAGGATAAAGAAGACCTCAATAATAGACTAGTAAAGTTTCATAATAGTTATCAGTTGAGAAAAAGAGAACCACTTCTTAAAATAAATAGTTCATTTAATCTAAAGAATTAGTCAAACCTGTTACTTAAGTGTTAGCCCCTAAGATTGTTACTACTAAAGAACCACATAGAAAATATTGAAAAAAAAAACAATTACATTATAATAACAATAATATTTATGATAAATGAAATTGTCACTTCTGAAAATTCAATAAAGAAGGATCAGATAGAGATCTAATTGAGATAAGTGAAGTTGAATTTGTTAGATGAATAAAATATTCAAATATAATTAGCAATTATATCAAACCAAAATGAAATAAAATAAGTAACAACAATTGAAAATATTGAAGACAGATAGATTTATAAACTCAATTATGATGAATAAGATTAAATTTTATAAATCTTATTACTTAATGATGGTAAATAATTAGGTTTCTCAAATCAATTATTAGAAACTCTATTTACTAAACAAATTAATGAAATTAAGATTATACATGAATAAATTGTAGTTGGGGTTTTGAGTATTTAAATAATTAAAACTCAAATTGAAAACTAAATAGATTCTGAAAGATTAAAAGAATATTTAAAATAAACAGGATTAGAAAAGATATTTATGGTTATTTTTGCAGAAATACTATAATAAAAAGTTGGAATAAATGATGTTTATAAATTTGCTGCTCGAAGACTAAGGGAAATTGGTTAAAAAATCTTAAATGAATAAATATCATGAAAAATAGATTAATGATTGAAGATATAATACTTATTTATACATATTTTCATTGAATTAATCTTTTTAAAGCTTTATTTAAATAATTATTAATGATTTTATAATAAATCATATAGGTTTCATGCTAACAGTTCCATCCTTGCGAATATAATAAGGAATATGACGATTAGAAAATCTTTTTGCCTTAACAACAAATTCATTTAAGACTAATGGCTTTATCCACTCTTTTTTAATCTGACCTAATCTATTTTCATTTAATATTAAAAATTTACTTTTAATTCCCAATTACACCATGATCATTTACTGGTACAATTATCAATACAAATTAACCTCGTGGAAAATGCGAGGACACTTCTTTAATCTAAATTTTGTTGAGACGTCCTTATCCTTCTTTAATAAATGCTTATTAACACCCTTTATAGATTGATTCTCCTTAGTTATTGTGCGATACCTTTTTTGGTAATTCATCATATGTCCAACTTAAAATTTATTAAATTATAATACATCTCAAGCTCCACAATGATTTTGTTTTAATTAATAAATATTTAGTTTTGATACATGAGATTAAATCGAATCGAGAATATTCGATTTCTGTAGCATGGCAATTCTAAATCTTCAGATAATTTTAATTCGTATTTGTACTGATGTTTCAGAATTAAATCTAAGTAACTCACTTATGGTTATATTTGATAGTAATCCAATTTACTAACTAACATTTAAAGTTTTTCTGATTGTTTTAAGAGTTTTTCTATAACTTTTTCATTACTCTAATCGATCAATTTCAATTAATGGCAATGATCTTTGATTTATTAATTAACTTATGCTTAGAGATCAAAAAGGTTTTATTTCGTTGAAATAAGTAATTATGGTTAGTCCATTTATATATTAGTTTGTTTATTTTGAAAAATTATTAAAATTAAAGTTTTTCATGTTATAAAAACTTAAAAAACAAAATAAGATTTAGAAATTATTTCTTTAATGAAATTGAATTATATTCGATTTAATTTAGTTTATTCTAAAATTAAAAGGATACAATTATTTTTAAACTAATTGTGAATATATATGATTTTGTAAATTTGATTATTATTTATAAATGATAACTAATCATCCATCTTATCCAAAAAAAGAGATAGATAAATATAATTTATAGACTAAATTGCCAGAGTATTGACTTTCTTATTCTAGATATCAAACAGTTCCTATAAATCAACCATAAAAGAAAACTCATGACTATTATAATGATAATACACATATTTGGAATAATCCACATCAAGCTAAATCAAATGCAAAGGTATTCAAATAATTAAAAGAATAATATGACAAAGGAGAGAAGAGAATTAAGAAATTATAAGAAATGGAATATAAAGAGAAATAAGAGTTACAACACAATAAAATAATATACTATAATATGGCAAGAGAAGAGGATCTAATGAGATTATAATAAAGAAAATTAGAAAGAGGAAGTTTATAAAATTTAAGTTCACAACGTAATGATGTATAAGTAGATACTATTGCTATTAAACCAATACTTTCAAGAACAGCATTATTAGGTCGACCAGATCATTTATGGAATAAATTGAATTAACAATCTTAAAAATATGTTAATTTACTTATCAATCCAAAAATTTTGTAAATGGAAGAATAAGGAGTTAAAGCAATAAATGAAAAAATATAAAAAGATTTAGAAATTTAATAAATCAAAGAAGAATTAAGATTATAAAATATGGAACATATTAAATAATTGAATACACGTAGAAGAATGACAAATCTTGAAATAGAGTAAAGAAGTGGAATTCAACCTTCTAGATTAAGTTTTTAAAGAGTAGCCACTGCTTAAACTAATTTTAGATAACCTAAAGATGTTATTGAATCTACTTTATAATAATTAGAACATTAATAATAATAATCTTAAACTATTCAATAATTAAAAAATTAAATTATCAATTCTGCTTAATTCAATCAAACAAGCAGACCATATACAGTTGGAAGTGTAATAATAATTATTATTAATAGGATTTTAATTCCATTTCTTTCAATGCTGGATAAACTACCAAAAATGAATAGCATAATAATCTTACTCAAAATTAAACAACTCCAATTTTTCTAGTTAATACGTATTAAATAATAATTATTTAAAGCTAAAAGTCAAAATCTGTATCTACTCTTTCTTATAAACATCCACTAGATAGAACTGAATATAAAGGCTTATTATTAGCATAGGCAGTTGAATAAGCTGAAAGTAATTTCAGTAAAACCTTAAAAGTTAATAGTACATTGTTAAAAGAAACTTCGATTCATTTTATAAGACATAAATAATCAATGATTCCAAAAAAAAGAATACAAATAAAATGCAATAATAATATTACTAATGAATAATCTAAAAATGAATAAAATGATTTGTAAATTGTAAATAACATGTTAGACAGTTTTGAAAGAAAACTTTATAGAAACAATAATTTCGATGATGAAATTTTATGATAAATTAAATATTATTCTTATTCTACACATATATTTATTATCAAAAAATTAATTCTTATTCACCTAATCATATTTTAATAATATAATATATATTTACAATAATTATATAATTATATTATTAAATCATATAATTACAATTATTAATATTAAAATAAAAAGTCACTTAATGATTGTGCAAAAATTATATAATATTATCAACTTCTAGATACTGATTTTGATTCATAATATCCAAAATCTGAAGGTAGTCTATATTATCCAGGTCCAGGAGTTTGCATACTTGATACTGAATAAGTTTTACGGATATCATGAGGAAAACTTCTACATTTACTAGAATGTAAATTAGATATAGGATAAAATCCAGTCTATAAAAATTAAAATTATAAAATTACCTTTTGTATACCTATATTATCTAATTTATAATTTCCTGGTCCTGGAACATCATTACTATCTTAAATTAATAGAATTTTTTAATTTACATTATTTATCGTCAAATCTCTTAGATCTAGGGGGATTAAATAGAGTAGCACAACTATTTGTAAATTTAGAAATTGGATATTTTCCTTTAGAATCTATTCCTTAAACAGAATTATAAGCTCCCGGTCCTGCATTATTAATATATAATTAACCTGGAACATTTTTTGTCAGTATCATGATATCTTATGAATTTTTTGGTCGCATTGTATATCTTGTTGAACTGAGAGTTGATTAACTCTCATACTTCCCTGGTCCTGGAGTTACTTTATTCAATCCTCCCATAATTCCACTTTACCACATTTTCTAGAAATAACAATTTCGTTTTACATCTCTACTCACTCCAAAAGGGAATCCACGATTCTTTGATTTATTGATATCCAATTCTCCAACTATCTTATATGCATCAGGAGCAGGAGTCTTTGGTCCATTTCTTGTAAAATCATATCTAGAATATATTTGATTTTATTATACTTAGTTGAATAACCTACACCTGCAGCTCTCTTTTCTTTTTGATCTGGAAGATCATAAAATGCAACTGCGCAACTAATGTTTAAAAGCACAATTACTTATTTGGATTTTCTAATTTGCCAAAGCGACTACTTTTTGGGAAAGACCAAAGTTATTTGGCAGTACTTAGATTGAGAGGTGATTGACTAATTTATTGACAGGAAGAGACAGTGATTGACATTTAATAAAATTAATAAAAGTAGAATTAATGAAATATAATTTTATAATATAAAAGTATAAATCAAAGTCTCATTGGAGAGACTGATTTAACAAGTGTGAATGTTGGATAAACATACACTTATTTAGGTTATTATTACATTTAAATATTCCTTTGAGGAGTATTAGGTAATCTTTTAAAGTATTATTTATTAATTTAAGGCTATTTTTATTAAAGAGATTAGAATAATTAAGTAAGCATTTATTTTTATTCTGCTAATTCTTATTTAATTTCTTAGATATACTTAGTATTTGGATCTTCTGATTAGATTTATGTACAATTACCATTACATGAATGGTAATTTGAATCATCCATTTTTTTTGATTATTATTTTTCGAATGAATTTTGTAGATTCCTTACTTAAGTATTATTTTTATGCGAAACTAAAGAGATATAGTTTTATATGTTTCCTAATGGTAAATCATTTGTATCTTAAACTTTTTGTATAGATTATTTTGAGCTCAGTGATTTGGTTGAAAATCCAAAGTTTTAAGTTTCTTATTTAATGTTTGGTTTAATTTTTATACTATTGAATTTATTAAGCAAACTGTTAGTTTTATTGTTATGATCATTATAAATATTAGTTTATTCCATATTGAATTTACTTGGTAAAGTTTTTTGAGAACTTAAATATTTTTATTCATTTTCTTCATTCTAAACATAAAGAGGCTTGATAGTAGATCGTCTTTCTTCACTAGGAGGAGATCTATTTATTTCTCTTTGAACAACCTCACTTAAGCATTATAAATTTTTATTATTTTGTTATACAATTTATTTAGTTTTTTAAGCAGTAGTTGATTAGATATCATTAAAAACTGTTTTCTTTTATTTGAAATCAGAATTATATTTTTATTATTATGCTTCTAAAATATTCTTTAAAGTTAACATACGATCATTAGTTTATTATTATTATTATTATTATTATTATTATTATTATTATTATTATTATTATTATTATTATTATTATTATTATTATTACTAGTATTATTATTATTATTATTATTAGTATTAGTATTATTATTTAACCTCAAATTAAGATTATGATCTCTACTAAATATAATCATTATTTTTCTTGATTTATAAATTTTATTCTTCTTTTTACTAACCTAATGTTTTTCTAGAATTTTTTAGATTTGGAATTTCTAATAAACCAAATGAAATCTTATTTTCAAAATATTCTTCAGTAGGTTATGTTTTAGTTCTTGATTATTAAGTATCAGTCTTTCTATAAGTCTAATTTTCATCGTGCTAATCCAATATGATTTCATAAATCTAATTTTGTTAATCAAGATTTCTTGTATTAAATTAACTTTACAATTTCCTTATTTCTTCTACAGATTTACTTAGATTATTGGTATTTGTACTATATTTCCTCACAGAAGGCTATTATTAGTACTTGATATCAGTTAAAGTGTTCACACGAAGTCTAACGAATTGCATCACTTCAAATAATCTAATATATCCCAATATAATCTCCTTCGATATAGGAATTACGATATATTATTAATTAGCTTTCTTACAAAATTTAACTAACAAAGATATAATAATGATGAATTACAAACTAATTCTTGTGGAGTTTCCATTTAGTCTAGATAACCACTGCCCTTAATCTCCACTAACTGTCCATGATTATATATCCCTTTGACCCATTAAATTCTTTAATCTTTGAATACCATCAACCCATTTCCATGATATATACCTTTTTGGAATTAGCCCTAATAAATCTCATCTTATTAATCTAAACGACCCAAACCATTCAATTTTCCCTCCACAAATTATCCACATTAATAAAACAAATTTGAAATCTCTATTCCCAAACCATTAGGTAAATTTGCCTTTCCAACATTTCCATAATAAATACAATGATTAAACAACTATATTTATAAATCTCCTTTTTGTAGTTTACTTATTCCCTATAATATACAATCAGCTTCATGTGTACAATCATGAGTTATATAAGCACTTGATGATTGTATGGTGATTTTTCTTTCTCCTTCTTAAATGAAAATAGCCTCTCCTTTATCGAATTAACTATAAAACACTCTAGTTCCAACCTTGATTACAATATATCCATGAGCAGCTCCTTTGCTGAAACCTCCTTAAATGATAATCTATCCACCTAAGAACAAGATTCCCTATCCATCAATCAAATCGTTTTTCCACTCTCCATAATAGGCAGAACCTACATCCCATAAGTATATTCCAAGCCCATGTTTTTGTTATTTTGCATTGAATCCTCCTTAATAAATTCCATCCTTATGTTCCTTCATCCGTTAATATAAAAAATATCAATATGTATCATTATAAGATTAAATAATTTTAACATACATATAAATTATGAGCATTCTTAATTTACTTTGAGATTCATTTGTATTCTCATATTATGAATGTGTGTATTATAATAATATAAAAGATGAAAGAAATTTAGTAAAAGAAAATCATAATATTAAATAATTGATAAAGTCTTAATGCAAGTCATAGGAAAAATCCCTGTTGAGATGAAAAAAACCTTAGATGAGAATTATATAATGATTAAGGAACAATGTAAAATTGAAATGTTTAATCAGATGATGAATAGTTTATTAGATCAAGTAATTTGAAAATTAATATAATTAGAAATAAGCACCTCATATTAGATTATAATTCTTATACAATATTAGACAATGGGATTAGAATTTATGCTTATCTGATTTATGCATCAACTAATTGGAGATTAACATAACTAATAATATCAAATATGTATTCAAAATACATTATGATAGAGTATGGGTAATCATTAGAGCAAATACTGAAATAAACAGATTTGTTGAAAATGAATTAGATCTAATTTTCTTGTGAATTTATGAGACCAATTCCTATAATAGTTCCTCATTAAAGTTTTGAAGATATTTCATTAGATTTAATTCATTTAACAATTTGGGATTACAATGTAACTCCTTTGATGAGGTTTCGCTATCTACTGTGTTAAGCTTAGTGTACAAAATTGTAATAAGGAGATTATCAACAGATTTTGACTCTATTCAAACCAGAATATAAGATTGATGGAAATTAATTTAAACTTTTGGTTGAATAGAATCCATAATTAGTTAGTGATTTGATTAAGAAATTACATTAATTAGGTGTAAATACTCATGAGTATATAATTGAAAATGATTACTTAGATATTTGGACTAGTTAATTTAGATAAAGATAAGTATTCAAGCCTTAGAATTAGTCAATTAATTATCAAAGAGTATAAGTCTACCAGATCAATTTCTTAATATGTTCATAACAAAATGTATAGTAAATTGTGAAGAATTAAAGAATGTAAGATTATAATGATTAATATATATATAGAATTAACCTTAACAATTGGCTCGATAAGTGAGATTGGTTTCAGTATTTATTAGAACTTTGATTAAGTAGAAAACATTTGATCCAAAGAAGATTTATGTAGAATTATAAGGGTTTTGCTTAGAGTTTTCATCAATTCTGGAGGCGACTCAATTATTTAAAACTATAAAAAATTCAGTTCAAGAATAATGAGATATTTATATAAATATACATACCGCCAAATATTAATTAAATATGCGGAAACAAAAGCAGAATTAGTTAGATGAGATCGAATTGAGATTTAATGTAGAATGGGTTAGGAATCAAAAGGAATTGTAGGCATGGGTAGCAAATATGAAAGTTATAAGTACTTATGATGAGAGCGAAAAAGAATTCACTGCATTATTAGTTTATGTGATCACTTAAAATGGTACTATAATATATTATTTTAGGGGAGTTTCTCAAATTGATGTATGATATTCCTCCTTATTTCTATGTTGAATGCAATTAAGAACATATAAATGAATTGGCTATGCATTTAGAAAATAAATATGAAAAATAAATTCTAAAAGTGGACATTATTGAAAGGGTAGATTTGGATAAAGTATAACATATAACAGGAGGAAAAGAGAAATTCATTAAATTATAATTTAGATTAATTTAAGACTTAGTTTAAGTGAGAAATCAATTAAAGGCTAGAAGTGATAAGAACCGTAGGAATTTCACTGAAAATGAATTGTTAATTAATAAACCTTCAACAACAAAAGATATCTTAGATTAGTTAATTGGAGTCAGAGAATATGATGTACCTTATCATTGTAGAGTATGTATTGATACTGGATTGAGATGTTGTAAATGGTTCAAATTTGTATTGAAAGAAAGAAGAATAGCAGAATGCATTGAAATTAAAGAAATGATTAGTATGCCTGAATTGAAGTTTCTTGCTTTTGATATTGAAACATATAAATAACCACTTAAATTTCCAGATGCTAAAAATGATTAAATTATGATGATATCTATCACTCATAGTTAAAATAGTATTCTGATTACTAATATGCAAACATTAGGATAAGAAGTATAATCTTTTGATTATGCTCCAAAACCTGAATTTGCAACCTAAGCAATTATTTATAATGAACCTGATGAGAAATCACTTTTACTTAAGTTTTTTTAAGTCATTTTAGATTATAAACCAATAATTATATCATCATTTAATGGAGATCGTTTTGATTGGCCATATATTGAAGAGAGATGTTTAACTCATGGATTCTATTTGGAATAGGAAATTGGAATTAAAAAAAATGAAGAAAATAATGAATATTATGGTAGATATGTTATTCATATGGATTGTTTTGCATGGGTTGAAAGAGATGCATATCTACCTTAAGGAAGTCATGGTTTAAAAGCAGTGACAAAAGCTAAATTGGGATATTAACCAATTGAAGTAGATCCTGAAAAAATGGTATCTATGGCTATGTAGGATAGTTAATAATTTGCAGGTTATTCAATATCAGATTCAGTTGCAACATATTGGTTATATAGAAAACATATTCATGATTTTATTTTAGCACTTTGTACAATTATTCCATTATCACCTGATGAAGTATTAAGAAAAGGGTCAGGTACATTATGTGAATGTCTATTAATGGCTTAAGCATTTTAAAGAGAAATTATTTTTCCAAATAAAACTACTTCATCATTAGAGAAATTCCATAATGGTCATTTAATAGATTCAGAAACATATATTGGTGGTAAAGTGGAATGTTTAAGAAGTGGAATATATAGAAGTGATATTGATGTAGAATTTAAGATTGATAAGGAATGTATGTAATCAATGTGGAGTGGTGTTGATAGTTTGATTAGGTTTGTAGGAAAGATTGAAAATGAAACATTTAGTGAAGAGGAAATAGAAAAATGTAGTGAAAAGATAAGATCAAATTTAGATGTATTAATAGGAAGAGGAGAAATATTCAAAGAAAAACCATTAATATATCATTTAGATGTTGCTGCAATGTATCCTAACATTATATTGACAAATCGTTTATAACCAGTATCTATTGTAGATGAAAGTACTTGTTCATAATGTTTTTTTAATTAACCATAAAATAAATGTTAAAGATAATTAGAATGGTAATGGAAAGGTGAACTTTTTCCTTTGAAAAGAAGTGAATTTGAATTTGTAAAATAATAATTGGAGTAGGAATAGACAGATAATGAAAGGTCGGATTATGAAGAGAAAAAAAAATAATTATTAAAGGAAGGATAAGATATAAGGAAATTATAATTAAAAGGATTTAGTGATTTGTCTCTTGATGAATAAGCAAAAAGAATTAAATAAAGAGTTATAGAACATTGTAAAAAATCATATAAATCTATTCATTAACATTCAGTAGAATTAAGAAAAGATACTGTTTGTATGAGAGAAAATGACTTTTATGTATAAACAGTTAGAAATTTTAGAGATAGGAGATATGAATTTAAGGAGTTAGTAAAAGTGTATAAGAATAAATTAGAATAAGCTAAAAAGGATGGTGTAGGAGTAAAAGAATGTCATGATTTTATGGCATTATATGAATCCTTATAATTGGCACATAAAATCATTTTGAATTCTTTTTATGGTTATGTGATGAGAAAAGGTGCACGTTGGTATTCTATGCCTATGGCTGGTATTGTCACTCATATGGGTTCATAGATAATATCAACTGCAAAATAAAGAGTCGATTAAATAGGATTACCATTAGAATTAGATACTGATGGTATTTGGTGTTTGTTACCATCAGGATTTCCTGAAGATTTTGTTATAAAATGTTAGAGTGGTAGAAATTTGAAGTTTAGTTATCCATGTTATATATTAAATGAATTAGTTTATGAAAAATATAAGAACAATTAGTATTAATGGTTAAAAAATCCAGAAACATTAGAATATGGTATTAAGAGTGAAATGTCAATCTTTTTTGAAGTTGATGGTCCATATAGATGTATGATAATACCTGCAGCTAGAGAAGAGAATAAATAATTGAAGAAGAGATATGTAGTGTATAATAAAAATGGATCAATTGCTGAAGTTAAAGGTTTTGAAATTAAAAGAAGAGGAGAGTTATAGATTATTAAATAATTTTAATAGGATTTATTTTCAGAATTTTTGAAAGGTACCAATTTAACAGAATGTTATCAGGCTTGTGCTGAAGTTGGAAAGAAATTATTAAAAATACTAATGACAGGAGGAGAAGGAATACCATAATAGGAGTTACTTGATTTAATTGGTGAAAGTAGAGTACTTTCAAAAGAAATATCTGAATATGATAATAAAAAAGGAGTTGCAATAACTGCAGGAAAGAGAATAGCTGAATATTTAGGGTCTGATTAAATAAGAGGAGGAAGTTTAAATTGTTAATATATTATAACAAAATTACCTCATAATACTCCAGTTAATGAAAGATCAATTCCTTTACTCATATTTGAATCTTCTTTTGAAACTAGGAAGAAGTACTTAAGAAAATGGCTCAAGGAACCATAATTACAAGATGATGAATTAACATTATGTAAGATTGTGGATTGGGATTACTATATTGAAAGATTAAAGAATACTATCTTAAAATTATTAGTTATACCAGCTGCTTTGTAGAATATTGAAAATCCTATACCTGAAGTAGATCCTCCAGAATGGTTATTAAAGAAATTAAGAGAGAAGGCTTCAGGATTATAGCAAACAAAAATAAATAAATATTTCTTTTAAATAAATAAATTGGCACATCAATTAGCAGAATTAAAATTTTAACCTATAGATATTGAAGAAAATAAATAGTTATCTAATAAAAAGAAACTTCAAATTAATGAAGATATATCAAAGTAATTACATAATCCATATAATATGGAAACAGATTTTAAAAATTTCCTTAAGGCTTAAAAATAAATATGGACTAAGGAATTTAGAAATAAATAATAAAATAAGAATATTAATGGGAGAGGTAATTTAAAAAATATGATTAAATTTAACAAATAATAATTATTTACTTCAGTTTGGTAAGTATTATAATTTTATGAAGTTGAACCAGGTTTATTTTTAACTTGGATACTTTTAGAGAATGGTACATTAACAAATGTTTAAATCTAAGTTGATAGAACTATTTATACAAATCAATTAACAAAAGAACCTGAAGAATAAACAATTAAGAAAAGTTTGCCAAGAGATAAAAAAGTTCATTATCTTTATTAATTAACAATGGATGAATCTGCATTTCAATTTGAACATAAATAATTATTTTAATATGAAGCAAATCCAAATACAGAAAGTTTATATGAACATAAAATACCATTAATATTTAAATTAGTAACTGAATTGGGAGGAATTTGTAAAGTAAATAGATAATATGTTTAAAAATAAAAAAATGTATTTAAATTTGAAGATTTATAAATAGTTTACGAATAACCTAATTAATAATAATATTTAGATAAATTCTAAAATTCTTTATATTAATTTTCATATATCATATTTCATTTATAATTATAAGATAATTTTGGAATTTGGTCTGTGTTTTATAATGATGAAGTCTTAATAATTATAGTTAGAAAATCAGAAGAAAAATTAAATCGTTAAGATTTAAATCAATATACTAAATCAGTTCAAGAATAATTTGAATTTAAGAGGAAATAGTTATGGAAATAATATAAAATGGGATACCATGAAAAGAATAAAATCACTGTTTAAGCAATGTAAATATATTCAATTTAATATATTTAGGAAAGATGATAAATTGGCTATTGATTATATTTCTAATAATTTTGAGACTCGTGGTTAAGGAATGAAATTATGTATCTTAAAAAGTAATAAAGAATTAACCTATCTATAAAGTTAAGGATTATAATTTTTATGTCTTAAAGTATATAAAATATTATTAATATATAGATTCCTACTTTTTGTATTCCTAATCTTCATAGAGAATCTAGAAAAGAATTTTAATGGGATATTAATACAATAAAATAATAATTAGAAGATTATTGTAAACTTAAAGATGATATGGAGTCATATATTAAATATAGTAAATATGTCAAAGTTCCATTATGCAATCTTACATCATCAAATTTAGGGAAAACAGATGTTTTTAAGACAGAAAATGAAAACTTAAATTATACTACTGATATTTTCTTTTAAAGAGTTTTAAGACAGAAAACCAGTTGTTTATCATGGTATGGTAGTGGTTTAGGTAGAGATAATAGAGATTTAGTACCAACAGAATTTACAAAAACATATTTTGATAATCCTGGAATTTATATTGGTTATACTTGTGAAATTGATATTCTTCATTTTTCTATTAATACAATTGCTTAATCTGAAGAAATCAAAAATTTAGATAAAGAAGCAAGTTCATTAGTAGGTTAAAATGGTAAATCAGATATGCTTGATAGTTTGGATGAACTTGGAGGAGCCAAAATTGCATTTAGATTATTATAAATGTTAGTTTCATCATGGTTGGATGATATATATGCAAAAGGAGAGAAAGTTTCAGATGATCATATACTCAATATTAATATATGGATCTATTCAGGTTAAAGTCCACTTTATGATCCTTACTTAGGGAAACTTTTAAATAGATTGAATTTTAAGTTTTTTAGTATATTGACAACTAAATTAATGTAATTGGGTGTTAAAATAGTTAAAGCTTCTCCAACTAAATTATTACTTTATACTGGTAAATAATAAAAGGATATGGCCAAATCGTAAATTGAATACATAATCAATACATTACGATAGTCTAATCTATTTAAACATGTAACTTTTTAATGTTCTAAATTCTTTACTTCTCTTATCTATAAGGATAAACATAATTATCTTGGAAAAGATGTCGATTATTAAAGTGATAATGATGAGTTCGATTATAAATTAAAATTAGCTGACTTTTTACCATCTATATTGTCTTCACTTTTTGTTCGTTTAATATTTGAAATTTTATTAAAAATTGAAGAACTTAGAAGTAATCAACTTGAATAAATTCGTATGTTACCTACTAATTTATAAATTTTGAGAATGACTAATTTATAAAATGACATTATCAATATCTTAGTTTAATTTATTAGTAATTCTTATTCTTAAAGAATCTATGATATAATAGAAGAATATGATGAGAGATATAAAAAAGAAAAATAAAATTATGAACTTTATTTAGAATAATAAAAAACAATAGGAATAGCAGGATTAACAGTAAAAATGAAGAGAATTAATATTGAAGATGATGAAGAAATAGAACAAGAAGATTAAGATGATTATGAATAAAATTCATTTGTTGTTGCAGATGATGATTTAGATAATACTCCAAAATAAATTGAAATTGAAGAAGAATTAGAATGTTAAGAAGATGGTAAAGTATCTAATTTTCCTAAATTATGGTATCTTAAAAGTACTCTTGGAGCTAGAATTGATTTCCATAAATAAGAATTAATCATATTAAGAACATTTATTTATCTATGTGCAATATTAAGCGTAGATGAAGAAGTACATTAATAAATGAAAAAAATCAGAAATGTATGTTGTAAAATAGTTAACATTTCTGAATCCTCTAAAGAAGTATTTTATTTTATTAGTCTAGGCTGAATTTGAAGATCCTTGTTTTGATTTGATATTGTAAAATGTCCCCTGTTATAAATGTTATATGGTTTCAGAAGTTAATGTTTTCAAAGATCTATGGAAATGTGAAGGATGCAAAGATGATTATGATTCTTAAACTATGGAAAAGTTGATATGCTAATTTGTAGAACAATAATTGTTATTCTATCAAATACAAGATCTTTATTGTGTCAAATGTAAATAAACTTAAGATTATTCATTCTAAAAAAGGTATAAAATATCATTATATTTTTAGTTGTCAATGTTCTGCTTAATTTCAAATAAAACTTGATCAATTTGAAAAATGCTTTATTAGAACACCCACATAACTTTTTGATAGTTTATTATAGTTAGCAATAGAAAAGAATCTTCATGGATTAAAGACATTAATATCCTCAATAAATATTTGATTTTCAAATTAATTGTTAAAATATATTAATTTTCTTAGTCAATATTCTTTTTTATTAAAGTATTTATCAATATCAATATTATATTTCTTTTTCAAATTCTTTAAATTACATTTCTTTCTATTATCAAACAACATTTTAGATTAGATTTATTTTAAATTACTTTTTATAATGTAAGTATAAAAATTAAACTTTCCAAGAGACCAAGTAATCTTCATATAATAGGATAATAATCTATAGAAGAAAGTTTGACAGTTTTTTAGATTTTTTTAATCATTTGAAAAGTGAAGGAGTTTTTAAATAATACTTTATTATTATTTAATCATTTCCTTTCTTTTTTGTGACTTAATCTTTAAATAAATTTTCAGACAAGATATTGTTAATGATTTTTTTATATATTTTGAATCCAAATGCAGAAAACTATAATAAAAGAGATGNGATAATACTCCAAAATAAATTGAAATTGAAGAAGAATTAGAATGTTAAGAAGATGGTAAAGTATCTAATTTTCCTAAATTATGGTATCTTAAAAGTACTCTTGGAGCTAGAATTGATTTCCATAAATAAGAATTAATCATATTAAGAACATTTATTTATCTATGTGCAATATTAAGCGTAGATGAAGAAGTACATTAATAAATGAAAAAAATCAGAAATGTATGTTGTAAAATAGTTAACATTTCTGAATCCTCTAAAGAAGTATTTTATTTTATTAGTCTAGGCTGAATTTGAAGATCCTTGTTTTGATTTGATATTGTAAAATGTCCCCTGTTATAAATGTTATATGGTTTCAGAAGTTAATGTTTTCAAAGATCTATGGAAATGTGAAGGATGCAAAGATGATTATGATTCTTAAACTATGGAAAAGTTGATATGCTAATTTGTAGAACAATAATTGTTATTCTATCAAATACAAGATCTTTATTGTGTCAAATGTAAATAAACTTAAGATTATTCATTCTAAAAAAGGTATAAAATATCATTATATTTTTAGTTGTCAATGTTCTGCTTAATTTCAAATAAAACTTGATCAATTTGAAAAATGCTTTATTAGAACACCCACATAACTTTTTGATAGTTTATTATAGTTAGCAATAGAAAAGAATCTTCATGGATTAAAGACATTAATATCCTCAATAAATATTTGATTTTCAAATTAATTGTTAAAATATATTAATTTTCTTAGTCAATATTCTTTTTTATTAAAGTATTTATCAATATCAATATTATATTTCTTTTTCAAATTCTTTAAATTACATTTCTTTCTATTATCAAACAACATTTTAGATTAGATTTATTTTAAATTACTTTTTATAATGTAAGTATAAAAATTAAACTTTCCAAGAGACCAAGTAATCTTCATATAATAGGATAATAATCTATAGAAGAAAGTTTGACAGTTTTTTAGATTTTTTTAATCATTTGAAAAGTGAAGGAGTTTTTAAATAATACTTTATTATTATTTAATCATTTCCTTTCTTTTTTGTGACTTAATCTTTAAATAAATTTTCAGACAAGATATTGTTAATGATTTTTTTATATATTTTGAATCCAAATGCAGAAAACTATAATAAAAGAGATGATTTATTTGAATTAAAATATAATGAATTAATTAACTTAATTAAGTTTGTAAGATTGATTATATCTTATATAAATAGCAAAATGAATTAATTTTCATTTGTATTTAATTTGGTGTTTATTTTTTAAATTATTTTATTATTTTATTGAAATGTCAACTTAGTAAAAATCATAATCGGCTAAATAGGTTTAAGGGAAATCTAAAGTACAAAATAAACAATCCATGAATTCTAAGAAACTAAAATAATAAAAAATTTAAAATCAAAAAGAAGAATCATTAAGAGAAATTCTAGGCTTCTTTACAAATTAAGTTGATGCTAAGAAATTTCTAAAGAAGAAAACTGCAAAAGATCTTCTTGATAAGGATATTAATGATAAGGAATATAAAGAAGAAAAAATTTAAGATGAATTTCTAAATCCAAATGAATTTGCAGAAGTTAAAGGAACTTATGATGATTACAATATTGGAGATTTAGCTATAATATTTTAAAATCCAGACTCAGATAATTGTGAAAATAAACCAATTTCTTTCAAAGATGCTGTTAAAATATATGATGAAATGTTAACTGTGATGACTGATGAAGTTTCAAAATCATAAATGAAAAAAGAAAGATGTTCATTCTTATTAGCATTTTTAACTTTAGATGATTATGAAGATAAGAAAGATGAAGGAAATTAGAAGAAAAAGAAAAAGAAAAATTTAAAGAAAGAAGATAAATAAAAAACAGTGAAAACTATATAAACAGGTACATAATTTGGAGAGGAAAAGGAATAGTTATAAAAAAAACAGGAAAAAACATCATATGATAGATATCTAGATTTCTTAAGAATGTATAAAAAATAAGAATAAGATTAAAAGTTATAAGAGGATGAATAAAAGAAAGGTGGAGAAGTTATTTAATAAAAGAAATAAGCATATTTAGATGAAATTGGTATAGAACCAGATAAAATGGAAGTTAATCCAAATATGGTATTAGATCCTATAAAAGAATTATAAAAAGTAGATATAAGTGATACTTCTTAATTTAAAAAAGTAAAAAAAAAATGGTGTTAAGGTTAATATTTAAAGAAGACTAAAATTGATGAATTTCAAGAAAAGTATGAATGGACATGTTAGAATACTCCTCCAAAAGATTTTCTAACATTAATTAGATTTACAATAATGGCCAAATTGTGTAGAAATGGATTTTTACATTGTAGATAATTTATTAATGGTACAGGAGAGTTGATTTTCCTTATTTTAAAAAGTAGTAAAGAAGTAGTGAAAAGATCAGCTTAAAATATGAAGGTTACAAAATAGATTGAATTAGGATTTGCTGATTTATTTAGTTTAGAACCAGTTGATGAAAGTTTTAGACCTTTAAGATTGAAGAATTATATAAGATAATATACAAATAATGAAGAAATAAAGAAAAAACTTTAAGAAATTCTAGATTCAAGAAAAGAGGCTTAAAATAAAGAGGAGGAATATAGAAAGAAATAGGATATGTAAGATAAGAAAGATAATAAGGATTCAAATACAGATCCAAATTAAGCATTAGTTGATTAATTATAACATTTTAAAAAGATGTAAGAATTTAAAGAGAAAAAATATATAGATTAAGAGGAAATAAAAATAGAAGAAAATGTTTAATAATAAAATAATTAAACAATTGGAAATTATTGTGATTCTTTATATCCTATAATTTGTTAATGGGATGATATTTTACTATAAGTTTATACAATTTTAAAATAATAAGATGTAGATAAAATTATGAAAATCATAGCTAAAGAACTTAATATTGATTAAAGTCATGAAAAGGTTGAATTAATTAATGATAAAGATATTACTAGAAAAGAATGGGAAATTTATTATATTTATATGGAAATCTTATAACATTTTGGATAAAAGATATAAAATTTAAAGAAAAAAGGAAATACTTAGATTTAAGAAAATTAAGCTTTTTTGTATAAATTAATTTTTAGAAAGGCTTTGGGAGATGCTAATGAATTATGGTATAAAAATCATCCAAGTGTTATGAGTGAAATAACATAAAATAAATCAATATTATTGAATTTATGGGGTAGACTAAATGTAGATCCTGTTGCACCATATACTGAATTCTTTTAACCAAATAATGAGGTAGGTAATTCAATGTGGAGAAAATATGAAGTTAATGAAAAAGGTTTAAGATCAGAATTTATTAATATGGAAAAAATAAAAATTACTCATGCAATAGTATTAAAAAATATCAATATTTTAAAAATGATTAAAGAACTTATTGTAACTGCTTATTTTCCAATTCATGATCATTATCAATTATAAGCAATTCCAAAAAGTCCATTTTTTGAAAAACTTATTGAAGGTGAATTTATGTAACCAAAAGAAGATACAGAACATGAATATGAATTAAAAAATCTATTTAATGAATTAAAAGATGAAGCAGAACCTACTGATTTTGATTCAGATAGTTTAGAGAAATCAAGTGCATTTAATTTTAGAATTCCATGGCATGTATCAATTAATTCTATGAGAGATTATTTTGGTGAAAAAATAGCTCTTTATTTCTCTTTTTTGAGTTATTTTACTAAATAATTATGGTATATGGCTATAATTGGAATTATTGCTTAAGGATTAATATCTGCTTCAACAGAATAAGCTAAATCTACAATGATTATTTTATTTTCATTAGCTATAATTATTTGGAGTACATTTTTTATTGAATTTTGGAAAAGAGAATAAATATTATTTAGTGTTTAATTTGGATAATAAAATTTTGAAGAGGATGAAGCTGAAAGACCAGCATTTTAAGGAAAATATATAAGATCTATTACAAATGATGATTTGAATGAAGAATTTTATTCTCCTTTTCTTAGAAAGATGAAATAATTATTTTCATTAGCTGTTAGTTTTCTTATTATAGGATGTGTTATTGGTAGTGTGTTAGGTATATTTTTTTTTAAGAATCTAATGTTATAATAAAAAGCTGATCCTTTTTATGCTTAGAATGTTCCAGCTCTTTTAAATTTTATTTAAATTAACTTTTTTAACTTTGTCTATTAAAAATTAAGTGATATTTTTAATATGTATGAAAATCATAAGATTTTATCATCCTATGAAAATTCTCTTATTGCTAAAATATTCATATTTATGTTCGTTAACAAGTAAATTATTATTATTTATATTATTTTAGTTTCAATTCTTTTTTTATCATTTCGTTTCTATCTGGATATTTTTCATAATTATAATTATGTAAAGTAAGTGAAGATATTCAGAATGACTGTTTTTAAGTATTATCTAATTAGATGACAGTTATTTTCCTATCCAATATAGGTAAAAACATTCCAGAATTAGCAACTCCATATATCAAAGCTTTTATTACAAAAGTAAAATATTTTATTATATTAAATATTAGTAAATGAAATCCAAAACTGCCAAAGAAGTTGAACATGCATTTAAATTAATTGATTCAGCTATTGATGATTAAATGGAATTAGAACCATATTAAACAAATGAAGAAGTAGATGGAACAGTTAATGATTATATGGAACTTGTTATTTAATTTTCATATCTAGCTTTATTTGGACTTGCCTTTCCATCATGTTATATATTAGCATTTGTTTCAAACATTATAGAAATACAAGTTGATAAATTTAAATTGATCAGAGTTTCAAGAAGACCATTTCCATAAGGAGCTGCAACTATTGGAAATTGGCTTATTATTTTAGAAGTTATCACATTTTTTGGAATATTCTCAAACTCTGGTTTAATTGTTTATACCTCCTAAACAATTTAAACTAATTAAATTGTTATATTTTCAGTTTTACTAGTAGTTTTTTTGGCATTGAAGTATTTTATTCGATTTTTAGTGCCAGATGAGCCAGAATCAGCAACAATTTTAAATAAAAGACATTAATATGTTGTTGATAAAGTAGTTAAAGTAAGATATTATATTATTTTAAGGGTTTTGCTCAAACTGGACAAAAATCTTACACTCCAGCCAAAATTAACTTAAAAATTGGAGGTGTTATATATTCACAATAAGTTTCATAAATATTTAATCAAGATGAGAGTAGCAATAGAAATGAAGAGATTGCTGAATGAATTATTAATTGATTAAAATTAACATTCTTATTTTCATTTTATTCATAAAAAAAAGAAAGAATATTTTAGTATATATTATTATATATAATTTAATATTCAGAATAACTAAATATTTTAATAAAGAATATTAGATTCTAATAATAGTTTTTCATATATCTATAAATATTTCTATAAATTAAAATTCAAATGCATAAGGCTATAATTTTATCAATTATTTCATTTTCTTCTTTTTTTTTTCTTTTTGATTCTCTAATTTTCAATTTAATCATTTTTTTATTGATCTTTTTCATCTATATTTTTAAATAACCTTGATCATCTTCTTTATAAGACCAATAATCAATAAGAAGATTACCTGAATAAACTTCATAAGTCTTATATAATAGTTGATTCATGTTTTTATTTAAAAATATTAATTAATTACAAAATAATGAATTTAGAAAACTATTTTCTAAAAATAAAAGAATTAAAAAGAATAAGAACAATTTTAATTATTGGTTAAATCAAGTACATTTTTATAATTAAGAATAATATAAATTTAGTAAATCAAAATCTTCATTATAAATTAATTGCTTAAAGCTTATCAAATTATAAAAACCTTTTAAAGAGACAGAAATGTAATAATTAGAAAGATTGTGATTCTTAATATAAGTAATAAACAATGGAATTTTAAAAGATATAATAATCAAATTACTTTTAAATATTATACTAATTTCATATGTTCATTTATAAAAATTGAATTAATTATTAAAAGAACCTTTAGGTGTATTTGATTATAAGAACTGTTATTAATTTGGAAAGAGCTGATCTGAGGTGTATGGCATACGTATTGTATTCAACTTTTGATTAAATGATTAACTCTACAATTCATTTTCTAAATTTCTAATACGATTGTCTTATGTGATTAATTATTCCTATGTAGTTATGAAGTATTACTCTTAATTTAGTAACTTCAAATTCTAATTAGTTATTTCTATCTTAGAGCATCTAATTTTACAACTTTATTTAATGGTTTTCTATATAAATAAAATTATCCTATACCCAAACTTATAGAATCGACCTATTTCTCATATAAAATCAAATCATTATGCATTTCTTTCATTTTTGCAAAATTACTATTCAATTCATTTTTATTTAAAGAGTCAGCTTAAGAATATTATTCAAGTTAGCTTTTTAATGTTTAATTTTGTTAGTCTAAAGTAAAAATGATAGCATCTCTTTTTTATAATTCCCCTTCCATTATTTAAAGTTAATTTTATTGTTAATCTAAAACAGTCTTCATTTCAATCTATTTATGTTGAGCTTAATTTATGCTTTAATCTAAATTTCCTTGTTTCTTTTTCAATTCTTATTCAAGGAATTGACATTAATGAATTAATTAATCCTTATATTTTTGTAATTGTTGAATTTAATCTGATTGTTTTTTTATTTCTTGTTCAGCATTAACAAGTTTCTATTATTAATTTAGATATTCCTATTTACCATTCTTCAAAGTCATTGCTAATTTTTCTATTTCTTTCTATTCTAATTAAATTAAAGACTAATAAGTTACATAGTAAATTTTATTAATTTAGATTTTGTATAGATTCTTCTAATTTCAATACTTAATTTTTAGTACTATAAAGTTCTTTTTCTTTAATTTCTAATTACTTAACCTATTATTTTTGTAATTCAATTTGATGTGCTTAATTAGCAAGTGTTTTTTAATAAGAACTCACTTATCCTTAAAGTTCTGTAATTTATAAAGTAGCTCTATGTAATTAATCATTAGAATTTTCTTATTATTTTTTGAGTTCGAAATTTAACATATCCAATGTTGTTTTCATTTTCTTATTATCTAAGTACAATTATTCCTATTATTCTCTATGCTATTCAATTTTAATATCCTTTTCTCTTAATTATTACTTGTATGTTTCAATATATTCTTTTAAATTGCTATTTTCATGTTCAGCAGAATTAAGATAGACTAATTACCTTTTCTAATCTTAAACTTAATCTTGAAGATCTTTGATTTATTTATTTAGTTCATTTGATTTAGAGGACAAGAGATTGTAATCTTCCAACTTTTTTTAAAGTTTATCCAATTCAGCTAACTTATATTGGTTCTCTTGGAGAGCTTCCTATTTTCTTCGAACTTCGGATTTCAATTTAACAATCATTTCTTCCTAATAATCAAATTTGGCTTTGAGTTCTTGTTCAATCGACTTTTGGTTTTTAAAAGATTATCTAAAGGATTAGAAGGAAAACTGAATACAATTCAGGTTAAAGTTAGTCGATAACTTTTTTAAGTTGTTAATTCTCATTCTATAACTTTCTCACTTATGATCTAGGTAGTTTAATTGTTTTACTTTAAGTCTTCTCCTTCTTCCATGAGAAACTATTACTTTTCAAGAAGCATCTACTCTTAAGGATTGATTTAGTTAATATTGTAATTCGATTTAAAGGATTAATCTTTTTGGGATAGGTTTGATTTTATTCTAAATGAATAACAATAATTTACGATTATCTGTCATTTTCCATTGTCTAGGGATGTAGACTATTGGTATAATGGATTAAAAAATTACAGATTAGCTGGCAGTAACGTATTGAATGGTTGGGGAACTGGAGTAGGTTATTAATTTGTATTATTGTCTTTGGGTCTAGATAAAGGACTTGGAGATGGAATGTCTTTCTCTTTCTAATATTCATTTTATGCAACGTTTTGATAGGAAAGCATTTATAATTGTGAACAAAATTATTATGAATATTTGTTATTTTCAATTAGAAGAAGGGAGCGAAATTCATTATTAATTTAATTAAAATGTCATAAATTGACCCTGCCTATTTCGAAAAGCTCAAAGATTAGCTTAACAACCTAAACAACAACAATGAGAGCTTCACAGAAAGGAATATTTTTGAAATTAGAGAACGTTTATGTCGAATTTCAGAAGAAGTACATCAAGAAAGAAATAGAGACACCAATCATGTACTCAATATATATAATATACTTATAGCAGGTCCTTCAAAATAATTAAAAAATTTTCGTTGAGAATTGCTTGAACTTTATTGTTTATGTCCTTCAACATGTTGAACCTTAAACATCTCGCAATACTAAATTCTTAATTAGAGCTGCCATCTTGGAATTATTACAAAAGAAAATTCTTTTATAACACATGACATTTCAAGTTGTTGAATAAATGACTGTTGTATTAGAAAAGGACAATGAAAATAATGCAGCTGTAGCCATCCGCATCATCAATGATCTATTAAAGTCTAACCAATAATAATCTCATCAATACTAGAGATCAAATACTCTATTTTCAGATTCATTGTTATTGAGACTCTATTCTTTCTTTGAGTAGCGGATCGAATTCTTGGTTAAATTTAATAATGAACTCAAGAAATCCTAATACAGGAAACTTTTAGGAGATAATTAAGGAAATCCATTCTAAGATCAGAATTATGTCTTATAATCAGATATAGAAGATAAAAGAGAGAAAGACATAAGACTTAATATTTATAGCTTATCCTTTGTTACTAATATACCACCATTCTTCATTTACACAATTTTTGTTCTGGACTCAATAGTGAAAGATGAAGTAATCATTCATTTTTAAAGTAGACCAAAACCTAAATGAGAGAAATCTTGAAGAGAGCCTTAAAGACTATGAATTAAGTAATTAATGAGACCAATTTTTAAGATTTATTATAGAAAGTCCCAAGAAATATAGTTTAAGAACTTTTTAATGCCTATTCAAAGTTTTTATAATTGCTTGCCCTTACAATTAAAAGGGATGAGAATTAGATGCAACCTTAATCAAGAATAATTAAAGATATATCAGATACAATAAAATTAGATTCAGTAATTGCCACTATCATTAAAACACTTAAGCATTGTCCTGTTGATATTATGCATTTAAGGATTGATATCAGTAATCGTCTGAAATAATCTATAATTTAAAAAAGAGATGCAATATAATAAAATGATATGACAGAAAAGATTAATGAAATAAATGCCAATGTTGCTGAATTGATTGATGAAGAAACAATAGTAGGTAAGAATCTAAAAATACCACCATATTAAAAGACTAGTATCTATCAAAATTGGTTAGATATTGTTAAACATGTAGTTTAAAGTTATCTCCCTAAGAATGAATAATAAAATTAATAACCTACTAACTTAGAGAAAATGTAAACTGATTTCATTAATAATTAAGCATATATGGACAAGATTTTCAATACTATATTTAAGGTTTTATTTGATTCCTCTTTATAATTATCTATTCATGAGAAAGCTTTAGATTTAATTAAAGTGTTTTTAGATTTATTTGCTAAATAAAACACTTATTTCATTGATAAGAATTTATTCTAATATTACATTGATTAACCTTAACAATAATCATAATAAAATGATTCTATGTTCAAGGAAGTAACAACTCATAGTCCAAAGTATAAATTGTTGGATAGATTATTTTAGATGATAGGAATGAAATTAGCATAGATTAGAAAACAAATCTAGTAGATCAAAGAAATGTTAAACAGAACTTAGAAATGGGGTATTATAAAGAAAACAACTCAGTAAACCAATGTTTCATCTATGCCTTGTAATAATGAAACTTTAAATGAAAGATATATCAGTTAATTAGAATAATATATTAAGGAGAATGAGATTGATATTGATTAAAATCTAATTACTTAATAAGATTCAGCAGCTACTTAAGTTTATACTTTTGATGATGAAGAAGAATATTAAGTTAATTCAACCAGCATCAATTCATATAGTTAATTTGTTGAATTTGCTAAGGAAGTAAAATCAAAGATATTTGATTAATTGAATGAAATATTATAAAAATTACTTCAATTTGTGGCAACAACAAATAAGGATATAGTTAATAAATATAAAAATAGACAAAATTATTAAATCTCATAAAGATTAGCACCTTTATTTTAAGCAACAAATGAAAATAAACCATATTTGAGTAATTTGTAATGTCATTATATGTCAAAGATAATGAAAAATGGATTATTAATATTTGATGAATTGCATGATCATTAAAGAAACCATTTTGAAATTTTGGATTATAAAAAGAAAACAATTCCTTAATTTATGCAATTTTTTATTTAATTTTAAGATCCTATAAATTTTAAGAATATTTTTGAACCAAATTCAAAATTATTATTAAAGATTTCAGTTAATTTAATAAAGACATGTCCAGAAACACATTGTCTTCCATTATTATTATAGGATCATTTATAAATATTAAGTCATCCAGAAAATTAAGCATAACCTAAATTATCAGTTAAATATTATATAGAATTTCTATTAAATTTATATTTGAGAGAATTGTAAACAACTCCAGAATTGCCATCTAGATTTGGATATTGTAGAGGAGGTTAATTGATACAAACAAGCAAT